TTTCACTCGAGAACATTCATCTTTTAAACAAAGAGAAAGTAACTCTCGACCACATCATTCCGTCAACGACGTTGAGTGTAAGCTAAATTCATTTTCAATCAAGTGTCAGGACATTCTGATGGATTTGAACTGACATGTATGAGCCTGTCAAAACTTTCCATATGTCAAAATACCGCTATTAAACTATAACACCACGTTCATACAAACGCTAGTCTAAAGAGCAGACTAATAGAATCAGATTTTTACATTTATCTATGTTTTGCATAAGAAAATAGGTATTGTCACTAAGAAAATAGGTATTGTCACTAACAAAAGTCAAAATTTCATGAATAATTGGTTTAATTTCTACTATTTCTTTACACGACTATAATAGTAATTCTGTCTGTCTGTCTGTTACCTCTTGACGCTTAAACCGCTGAACCGATTCAAATGAAATTAGGTGTAGAGATAGTTTGAGTGCCCTAGAAATGACATGGGATAGTTTTTATCCTAGAAATCGTCCTTTAAGCCGGTGAATAGGAAGGTGGAAGTTTGTATGTGTATTCAATAACCGCTGAAGCGGTTTAGATGAAATTTGGTATGGAGATAGTTGCATTCTTAAGGAAGGACATAGGCTTTTTACCATGATACCCGATATACACGCGGGCGGAGCTGCGGGCAAAACTTAGTAAGAATATGAACATACTATTAAAGCCGAGTCAGGCACAGCTATGAAAAATAGTATTAGAGTAAAGGCATAAGGTATTTTGGGAATACATCACTAATTTTGGAGTCGATGGGGGACTCTTTTCAGGGGTGAAACGACCACCTGCGTCAATGTCAGGGTCCGTAAAAATCCATAGTATATTTCTTACATTAATTTCATTACCACTTTCGATTTTTTTTTACTGTAATAAAATACCTATCAGCTAACTTTACGATAATCCTTGAACTTTGCTGTCGTTTGGTTCGTTATAGCATCGTTTTGAAGTTTATTAATAAAACTACAATATTACAATGATGCAGTATTTATTTTAGAGCATCGCTTGAAAAGATGATAAACGGCTCGATCATGACCTCGACCACAGACTATATTTATCGATTAGTGTCTGATTATTAATAAATTTCAAGGGCCCAAAACTCATATAAATCGTGAATTAAATTTCATGTTTTAGACACTGTGCTCATAGTGCGAGTTGAATTACGAAACAACATAATTACAGAAATATGGTTTTTAGGAAACCTGACAAGGATAGTCACTATCCGGTAAAAAAGGGCATACCGACTAAGTCTACATTTCTTTGTTACGCAAAATAGTTGATCTCTATTCACTATTTTTTCACCACACCGAATTCTCGGCACGTAAAAACCCAAGAAGTAAACTAGCCTTTAATTAATTAATGCTTCCGTGAGGGACAAAAAATACTACCGGCACGGTAATATCGGTTTTTTAAGTAATTTATCGTATAAACAATAATTACGTAAAATATTGAGTTACACAGGCAATTATAGAAAACGTATGGGGTTTTGCAATAAATGCTCATTGGAGTGGGTAAAAATAGCGTGATTTAACTCGTATTGTGTTTTTTTCAGTAAACATTTCTTAAGATTAAGAGAATTGTCTTTTTGCGTTCAAGCCCCTTCAGGTGATTAAATTATTATCCTACACTTTACAACGTTAATCACCTGAAGGGGCTTGAACGCAAAAAGACAATTCTCTTAATCTTAAGAAATGTTTACTGAAAAAAAGACCAGACTGTGACTATATGCAAAGTCATTGTTATATTTTGTTAATCTCCAACTGTAGCAGAGCGACACAATGTTTTTTTCACATTAAACCTTATCATCTTCATTACCATAAGACATGGAATGAACTGAAAAACAAAAGCATAATAATATGTACCCTTTTTCGAAACGAACAACCATAGATAACAAAATTAAGAACCTTCAGACGAATTGTTTTGTGGTTAACAAAACTTAGTCACGTCCATCGCTCTTGCCTTCTCAAAGGATAATTGTTGTCAAAGATGTACTAACAAAAAATAAGATGCTTGAGGTCAATGTTCGAAAATTTATTTTAATTGTGAAATACTCGTACTTCCTTCAAGTACGAAGGTTTTATTCAAATGTATATTTTCTATTCAACTGCCAGCATTGAATGTATAATTACATTAGACAAAAGTAATTGTCGGCTACGTTGTTTTTTAGGTTTTAGTAAAATTGGGTAATCAGTTTGGTAACTTTAACTGAAATAGGATAAGTGGTAATTTTCTGTCGACAGTAAAAACAAATTAGTGAGGATTATTGTTGCGTTTGGAATTAATTAATTAAGAATTCTCTTGTTTCCATCCAAAGTAATAACACAGAACGTTGGAAATTATAGAGTAGCACCATGACGTTATGAGCCTAACGTCGTTCATATAGGGATCATCTTGTAGGAAGTAAATCCTCTAAAACATATGATACAGGTTCTTTGTATTTTTTGTAAAATTTATTCACCCAAGAGAAATACAAAACCAGTAGACCTCAAAGCTTTAGTTTTACTATCAGCGTAGGGCGACTCCCCCAAGTTGACAATGTCACTAGTTTCAATTCGGCTTAATCAAATTGTACTAAACTCTACTTTTTTTCCCTTAATTTTCTACCATTAGAGGTTTACCTACCATATTATTTTCAAATTTACATAGGATCAACCTCAACTTTTTGAAGTATTTTTTTCTTAAATCGAAATCAATTGAAAATTATTTAAATATATGTATTATAAAAAAAATACTCAAAAAGCGAAATAAAAAATTGGAAAATTGAAAACTCGGTTATCGAAGTCGATATTGAGTTGACAAATTTGATTTTGTTTTACAATTATTGTTTTTAATTTTTAAATGGATCTATTATTTAATTTTCCTATGTCAATTGCTCATCAAATGTTATAAAATATTGTATGATTAAGACGAACTGAGAACCTTCTCCTTTTGTTTAAATCGGTTAAACTGTGTGAGTTTTAAAGCTGTTCATGACCACTTAATTTTAGTAGAATCACGTAAGGTCGTCTTTATAGTTTTGTTTCTAACGTTTACCTTAAAACGAAATACAGTTTACCTGATGAACGGACCACCGTACGTTAACGTGTATGTGTATGTCTGCTAATGTAAAAAGAAAAGTACATTCTAATGGGTGTTAGTACATTGAATTATTATTTTCAGTTCAGATAGTGGCATACTATACAATTTTGAATAAGCTTTGAATAAATTTTCTCGCTAAGCAGATAATTTATTGTAAATTTTTAAAACATGAAATCATAATAAATTTATTTCTATACGTAAACTAGCTGTTCCCGCAGTTTAACACACGGTTATAGCCATGACTATATAAGTTGTAATGAGATGTTGTTCTGAAAGACTTATCTGACTAGTAGGTAGGTAGTCTCAGTCTTTTAAAACTCTTAGCTTTTAATATAATAAATTAGTACTTGAAAAATAAAATTGAATCATATTTAACATTGCAATTTTTTTTAATAAATATTATCTACAGCAAAAAAAATTTTGTAAGAAAAATATAGGTATTAGTTACATTTCTGGTGTCATATAAAATTACTACCAGTCGTTAATTCTAAGAAATGAACACGTTAACTATAAATGTTTTAGCAATTTATAGTGTTCAATAATATGATAACAAGTGTATTTACACATCGTATGTGTTTAATAACATTGTTGTTACAATAACTTTGTTCAAGAATTTATTAAAGTAGTTAGCGAATAGCAATTTAATTGCAGCAAGTTTTTTCTTCGCGAAGGTTAAATATTTCTTCTAAATAAATCTAATTCCATTTTATTTATATTTAAAAAAATCATACAATCAAAAAACGATGCTCGACTTTTACGAGTGCATTTACTGGCCGGATGGCCACCGTTCAATGTTGGTGCCATGGCACCAGAGCTGATTATCAGAGCTATGGTAAATAAGGCATAACCAAAAAGGATTATTCTTTTAAGTGAATACTGTTACATTATAAGCCCAGTTTATATTGCATGACATTTTGGACGGATGTTTCTTTTGAAATTTAATTGCTGAAAATTAACCTTAAGATAGAATGCTCGAACTGAAATACTTTCTTCGAGTTAAATTATCCTTATACTGGGCTTACTCACTATCCCTAATATAAGTGACGGGTCCTTACTTATTAACACTGTTTTGCCTGGGCGCTATGTCCTTACCACTTAAGAAATAAGTAACCTCGGTTATTATTGTTTGAAAAAACTTCCGGTAGCGCACCCACTTGTACTGCTTGTGAACACTCTTCCGACAGGTTTGACTTAATGATGTCAAGAACTTTGCTGGATAAAGGTCAATGTTTCTATTGATTGGATTACTCATAATGTTGGCTTTTATAATATTTTTATTTAATTTCATTTACAGTATAGAAACGTTCATAACGATCAAAGTTGCGACACCAAAATCTAGTGTGCAAGTCTTAAAATAATGTATACCAATTGCCCGCTGTTTATCAGATGCACTAAAACGTGTATCTCTCACAACTTTATTATATTAGTGTGATAGTGTTTAGATTACATTTAATTATATTAGATACTGCAATGCAACACTGAGTGGTGACGGATTAAGAATACAGTGTCTCCACCCCTATTCATCCCGTGGGTGTCGTAAGAGCCGACTAAGGGAAAAAACTACGCAGAACAACAGCACTGCAGAGAGAAGGAAAACTTGACACAAACCCTATACTAACCCGTGTGGCCAGCGTAGTATAGTAGGCCAAAACCTCCTTTCTAAGGAGAGGCTTATGTCCAGCAGTGGACTATTAAAGGCTGTTGATGATGATGATGATGAATGCAACACTGTTTTTTTTTTAATATGTCTGACAGCATTATATTGTTTAAATCAAAGTAAAGATCATAACGGTCATATGAATAGTATGTTACTACGCACCAGCCATGAAACAATGGTCCTTGTAATAAAATCGTAGTTGCTTGTACATTTATATTTTCTTACATTAGACTTGATTCAATATTTCACACCGGTGATCGTGGTTGCGCAACACTCACAATCGGCACAGGATCATAAGCGCTCGAAGATTTAATTACTGGCTCTGAACCCTGCACCATAAAACGCAATAACATCCGTTTCCCCAAATTAAAATGGCGGCAGTTGCGTACAGCGCCCGTACCTTTTGAACCAGTCTTTATTACGATGCATTTTGTGTAATAAAATGTTTGTTTTTATGGTGATATATGCTTGGATGTGCTCGAAAGGGGACCCCTTTAGGACCTTGAAGATGCATATCCCATATCACATATCACATTCATAGGCCCTATCGTTGAACTCAGAATTTGCTTAAATAACCTAAGTTAACCAGAGTGTAGGATGTATCAAGTCTCGAGACATTTGGTCTTTAATCGTCCGGTCGAGTCCCACGAATTTCGAGTGGAAACTTGTAACGAGACACGATTGTTGAAACTATGTTATTGGACTTATCTTGAATATTAGTAAGAATAAATGTCGTCATTTATGAGTAGTTTATAAAAAAATACCGCAATTTAAATTAATAGATAAATATTTTCTTCTAAACCACGAGAGCATAGAAAATAAAAATCATTAGGTTTAAAAATAGGTACAGTTGTTCCGGACTATTTCGTAAAGTGTTTACTAATAGCATAGCTACCTTCTTACCGACCTTTAGATAGTTATATAACTCTGGCAGCCTTTTCCTATTAATATTACCTAAAAGTAATAAACAAGCTAATGGAAGTATATTAGCATATATTCAATGCCTAGGTATATATCATAAACGATTTAATGACTGTATAAGTAATATGATCCTTTAAATGTAATTATTAAACTTAACGGCAATGCTGAAGTCAGGGGCCAGTGAAATTTATGATTGCAAGGACATTATGTTTCGTTTTGTCGTTGTTGCATAATCTTGTATCGATCTTATCCGACTTGGATCAAAACAATACTTTGTAGTCTCATAGAAGGTTAAAAGTTATTACTGTCGTTAATTAATAATAATACACGTGTATATCTTAATTTTAAACATAGCGGTTTAATAGCTATGTAAGTCAGTGAGTCACTCAGTCATTCGATATATAAGCATAAAAGATAAGCAAAACCAAATCCTATGACCCTTTCTAGCTTGCCTTGATCGACCAACAAATTCCGCGAATAGTCCTAAACAACTTTATCATCATCATCGTCACTGTTGTGAATTCAGGTGATTGACGTTGTAAAGTGTATGATAAAGGAGCAGACTATGACAACATAACAACAATCATCAACAATCTTTAATAGTCCACTGCTGGACATAGGCGTCTCCTTAGAGTACCGTCTCCAAAACCTCCTTTTGGCCTACTATACCATGCTGACCAAACGGATCGGTATAGGGTTTGTTTCTAGTTATTCTTCTCTTTACAGTGCTGTTGTCCTGCGTAGTTTGCTCAGTTAGTCTGCTCTTCCGTCACCTACGAGATGAATAAGGGTAGTGACATCCCGTATTCTTAATCCGTCACTTTGTCACCAAACAACTTTATCTTCACACTTTAATAGATTCTCTAGCCAGTTCTATACTTCTATGTTGTTGTAGCAATCGATTGCTGCCTTTTATCGAAATATCGCCATTTTAAAATACTGCGTCTTCGAAGCACTAATAACGTTATGTCTCAACCAGATAGATAGCATCGCTACAGACTACAGTTCTATGTGAACGTGGTCAAATTACACTGGTATAGCATCTGGACAGGCATATACATAGCTGTTAAAATCCTTCTTAGTTTTTTTTTTTATGTGTACTTTCGTAGTGAGTCTGTTATTGTTAGGAATGACAGATACTTCCTTGCCAGTACTTACGTAATCCTTTCTCTGCATCACCCAATCGACCGACTGGCAGAGAATGCCTTAGGCATTAAGTCCGCCGATGCATATTTATTTGTGCATAGTCATAAAATAAATAAACCACTATATTTAATATTCTTTAAAATCAAATAAATTGTCAGCCATTTTTTTTTTCATTCTTTTAGGAGATAATAATATAACGTGACGTAGCGTAATTTGTAGGTATTTACTATTTATAATCAGTAGAAGTATGCTTCAGATTTTGACGATTGTCTGTATGACCGACTCTTAATATTTGTGCACTAGTCCTTTCGCCTTGATAATATGTTTCATAAGTAAGTAAGTCATTCCTAGATCTATCAGAGTATTTCAACATCTGAATTTGATGGGTTGTTATGTATTACATGTGATTGGTACGCAAACTTTCGACCACTTCTTGTATTCTGTTTCTAAAATTTAGTACCATATGCTGGGGTATTTTATCGACGTGAGGTAACAAACTTTTAAAGAAAAAGAGATGTTCATTGTCCTCATTTCGTTGATTCTTTCGGCATTTTACCCTCTTACCTTCAAATCCTGCAAGAAATGCAGGATTTGAAGTTTTCTACGTTCTATGTCTAAAATTTTGTCATCATATGACTTTTGACATCTTTTTGCGGGTGATTGAAACAATTCCATATTAGCGTTTTTTGATACATCAGCTCCATTGTCGTCATCTTGATTTATTGGTGAAGATGAAGCATAAAATTCATTATTATGTACACTGGGACAATCTACTGCTGATACATCTTGGTCTGCATGGAAAGATGAAGCGAATTTTGAACGAGACACTCGGGGTTTCACAACATCTTTTAAAAAATGTAAATGTTTAAAATAGCCCCATTTAGGCGCATATAAAATCCCATCGTCTTCTGTTTGTGATAGTGAAATCTTTCCAAACTCTACGGCAAATTGGTCCCTGAGGTACCTCCACTTCTTCCTCAATTATACTCTGAAAAATAAAGCAAGAGCATTTTTTTTATTATAACGTATTAGGTCCTGTTAGTTATAATGACTTTATTGTCTGAGCCTAAAAACTATAACATATAATTAATTGATATTATAAGTACAAACAAACACATCATCGACGTTTTGATAACTTTAAACGAATTAGCTGTGGCCCACGGCTTACGTAGGCTTCCATTCTCTTAATCATTTAATTTAAATAATTTAATTTAATTTAATTTCCAATAGTTATGACCTGCACCAGTACCATGGGGTACTGGTGCAGGTCATAACTATTTTGGATATTAAGATGTTTATTATGGCGCCTTTTTATTTAAACATGGCAACAAACATATTTAAGCGGCATTACTTTAGGAGTACTTAACTTACTTAGAAACTTACTACAGGGATGATTCCTTATAGTGAGTAAGCTATCAAAGTTTTATGGGAGTAGAAGGAGATGAGAATGCACATGGTACTATTGCTGCTGCAAGTGTTTATAGGCAACAGTTTACCGTCCACTTGCCAGCTGACGAGCCGGCTTGTTTGTCATTCTGATTTAAATAAACAGTTATCGAGTTAGGACACAAAGACATGACCAAATCGATAATCTCGGTTCATTTGATTTAACTTTGACAAAAAAATTCAAATTTCTACATCGACGATGGAACAATTAAGGACGGAGTCGACCCATGAGAGCAACTCATCTATACAACAATCTATACAAATAAATGAAATTGAAGTGTCTGTTTTTTTTAATGAAATGAAATGAAATGATGAAATGAAATGAAATGAAATGATAATTGATGAATTGATTGATTGATTGATTGAATGATGATTTTCATGCTTACACAGTTATTTGCACGATACCTATGCCTAAAAACCAGTTTAAATATTTTTTATCTGCCTGTCTTTCTGTGTGTCTGTTTGTTCCGGGTAATCTTCAAAACGGCTGGACCCATTTTGAAAATATTTTACTACCAAGTAACTGTCTATATAAGGAGTAACTAAGGCTATTTTTTCTCGCAGAAAAACCCCATAAAATTATGCCTGGTCCGGGAATCGAACTCACTAAGGCAGTGCTTTTTAAATTCCACGCGAAGTTTTATTATATATTTCATAAGTAGCGTATCTTACAATCACGAAAACACTTAACAAGGCAGCATTATTCATTTTACTCACCATCCTGTTTCATTTCCAAACTTATTTCTTTCCTACACTTGTCTACGACTTTTCTGCTGCTATAAAACTTACTTTTTTTATCCCACAGCGCTGGTCGGTCGAATACCATTGCAATTAATACCTCATTATTTTCCACATCCATTTCATCAAACACAGTAAACACAAACACTCTGCACCGGCAAACACTTAAACGAGTATGGCTCGGTTCAGGAAACTAGTACCGATAAGCTTCAACCGGTTTCTCGAAACGTGAGTGTATACCCGACACAGAAACCACACAAATTATTAAACACCAAATGTAGTCAACGATCACCAAATCTCAGCGAGTAAACTAATGCACTATTTATTACTTCTGACGTTTTAAGTTTGTATAATTTTTAAGAACAGGATTATTAAAATTGTATGTTTTATTTATAAAGACAGTTGCTTGAATAACACAATGTCTAATTCATTCCTAACTCCCCAATCTCCTATGCACCCACCCCGACATGGACAGGTTAGATTAGAATTGTTCCTTGTTGGTTATTTCTTTTAAACCACTCGGCGCCAACTCCGTTCTAAACCGAACCAAACCTTTCAACTTGACTAAAGCCCAGTGAACTGTGAATGTACAGTGATTTATTATTCTATTTTTTCGTACGTAGGTTAGGTTTACTACTTACTCACGCGTTGTTGCCAATAAGCTGTTTTCAGACGATGCGTGAAGATCCTATTTTGTCTATTTAACTGTAAATCTAGATTTTTTTAAATTATTATGTATAGTATAGGAATAGTAGCTATAGTATTATATTATTTTATTATATATAGTATTATATTATATTATGTTAATATATATATTATATAAATATAGATATAGTATAGGAATAGTAGTAGTATACAGTATAGAATTAGTAGCTATATATACGTTAGGATGTAGCAACGCGTTAGTAAGTAGTAACCCTAACCTACGTACGAAAAAATCAAATGATGAATCACAGTGATTTTGTCCCATGTCTACTGTTTGAAAACAATGAACAGTCTAATCTATGAAGTACAGGATATACCTAAGTGACTATGAAGTTTAAAATCTTTGGAATGTCATCATCGTAACACGCAGTTTTTTAATTGACTAAGGTGACAACAAATATTTAACATAATACAGCTATAACTCTAATCACCTTGTTCGAAATGTGTGAAGCAAACAAAAGTACCTATACGATTTAATTTAATTTGAGCAATGTCTACCCTTGGAAGACAATACATTTGTTTCTCTTATTCGTGTATGAATTATCTGTGCTATCTATTTTAAATCACATTTTTCATTAACATTTCGAAATTTCATTAATACTTAGTTATAAGTATTAATGAAATTTCGAAATGTTAGGTGACAATTGCCGCCCTGAGCAATCCATTTCTGTCAGAACTTTTAAGGTTTACTTACCCATATAAGATTTCCTGCCACTGTGACCAAGGAATATGAAATTAGGTCGAAATTGGATCTTGTCACAGGATAGCTTACAATTCACTTTCAAAAATACTGAAGATCCTACAAAACCATTGCCGTTTCATAATGCCATTGAGAAGAGCTATGGTGGTTCCTTTTTCTAATTGATTACGAATGGTGTTGTACAAACGTACACGTTGTAATAATATCCGAATCCATACTCAAAATTTATGAGTGAAAGGCTGTTAATTTAATATTTGTTACTTTAATTTGTCACAGGCTGGGTGAGCGATGAAGGGGTGGTTCGATGCTTTTCGTGAGGAAGGCGGGCCGACTCTGTACGCGTACCACAACCGCACGGCGGTAGCAGCCGACGTACCGGCGCTAGCGTTACTTGTCGCTGCGCTCACACTATACGTCGCCTTCCTCGCTGTGTTCCCCGGCATCAGGAAAGAGGTTGTATTCAGCATAATATTCTAACTAATACTAACTGAATCTTAAACCATTGAATTGTATTGTCTACAAGCAGTAGATGAATTCATCCAAGCAATTTAATAATAACAACACAATAAAAGTATTCCTATGTTTAGATTGCCACTTATTAACTGTTTTTTTTAAAATGGAACTCATTTTTAATCTGTTGGTTTAAAAATATTTTATTTGTGTTATATAAGTAGACGTTCACTTTGACGTTAAATACAAAAAACTGTCAAAAGTAGCACCCGCAGAATAAATAATTGAAAGGAAGGTATTTTGAGCTCGTATGCCACGAGATACCTATCAATACCTAAGAATTTATAATAAAAGTCAAAGTAATCGATCAAAGCTGTTCCTATTGGCAGCTATAATATAACGTGTATTGTAGATATATGCATTTTTGCATTCAAGAACAGATTTGTGTAAACCCGTAAATTGTTATAAAATGAGTGAAAATAGAATCTCGCTTAAAAAGTACCAATTCTAGTCATAGCTAAAAGACGAGTTGACAGGTTTGAAATATTTCTTGCTACCTGGATTGTGGGGCCAAACTGGTGAACGTACCAGTAATGAGTTGTCTTAGGTTTATCTAACTGTCGACCCTAACACGCTTGACAAAGGTTACCAGTTAACGGCTATTGCCAAGACATGCATTTACTATAAATTCCACTTATTAAAACATTCCTCAACGATTTATTAATGAGTTATCTGATCAACTGCAAGTAATCTTGACACCAAATTCAAATTAGTCAATTCCCGGATGCTAGGACTGCCCGTGTTCATGAAGACTGCTTGTGAGACACGTGTGAGTTGTCGGTTAATAATAAATATGCAAAAATCAATAACAAACTCGTTCTTTAAAGTAACTCATTTAAATATTATGTTTTGTGTTCAATTTATTTAATTGTGTCTACCTCTATATGCACCGGTGTACTCATGGTCATTTATAAAAACAATAAGATACTTTACAAAACAAAATGTTCAAGAAAGTGTCCCGGATATACAAACTATAAAATTTCATATGATTGAGCTACCGCAGGACCATAACGCACAATCCTTATAAGTTGCAAGCATTTGAAGACCAAGAAGGCTAGTGTGATATCATTTTATATTTAATGTTAAGATGAATATATATAGCGATGCGGCTGTTAAGAACGGTATTGATTTAAAAGTCCTATAACTTATGATCATTTCATCTATAATCTAGCCTCATTGATAGCCTAGCCAGATTGTTGGAGATCTCTGTTAGAAACGTTACAGGTCCACACCAATGCATCGCATTGATTGCAGGGACCGGGGACATCCGCATTGTAATTTAGTGTTAGGAACTTTCCGTTTAGAAATATATCGATTGTTGCCATATTCTAGGGCATATACATGTAAAGTAGGTACTCACACAAGTTGGTACGGGACGTAAACAATCTTAGACGAACGAACGCTCTCCTAAATATACACCCGGAACGCGGACCGAATCTCATAGGCTTGATGAGGGACGGGTGCCATGTCTCCTTATACACATGTCGCTGGGCTTCCTTTACAAAATTATATTTGGCGAAAAAGTGGATTATCGTGTTTGACGTAATTAATTAAAAAATAAAACTTATACAAATCTTTTTAACTGATCCATTGGACATAGGCCTCTTCCTCTGGTCGTTAGTTTATTTGGCTGATTCGTGTCCCACCTTATATTTACCGATTCGCTTTCTCCACTCTAGGACCCGTTTGCTCCAATGGCCATCGTTTTTTCTGCAAATTTAGTGTCGGATGACATCATTACAATTTTTTTCCTTCAAAGCACGTTTTTTATACCGGATAGCAAAAAGTTTTATTTCAAGTTCTTTAAATTATCCATTAACTTTGTAAAGGTTTCGTTTCAAAGGTCAAACACAAATCATTTAATATTACGGTCCACCCAGTCACATAAGTAAATACGAGTTAAAATTTTCGGAAAATGTCCATATACTATTTATGTTTTATAAAAATTTGTTTAAAGTATATATTCTGTACTATCGTTATCAAGAATACTTTATCGATAGCCAACATTTTTTCTTTCTGGGAGCTTTAAAATCTACGAACTACGTGTAGACGCGACGTATATACTACAGATGTATTGACGTTTAATATACCATACTGATGCTAAAATGAAATAATTATATTTATATTATAGATAGTTATATTCTAGCTATAGCTAGATAGTTATATTATTTATATTATAGCTTCATAAAATAGACTTAATTGCAAATTAAATAAAACATGAACACGATTACCAGAGTTTAACCTAACTGTATCTGAGCAGATCTTAGCGCTCCCATTAAGACCTGGCTATTGTTTGTTACAGAGATTCTCCACGTTTACCATAGTCACACTCAGCCTCTTCGTCGGCACCGTAATACTAGGTAAGCCTTATTGAATAACTTTCAACTTTCTTTACCTAACTTGCAATATGTATATGCTCCATTGCCACTATTGAGATGCTAACAGAACTCTGCCCATTCAACAATTCTACGGAATTGATGAACCCATGATCTAAATTTTGTTAGAAAGAATAATAAGAAGTAAAGAAGAATAATAAGAATAAGAGTATTGTGCGAAACTGTCGCTGCTTGTACAGGCCAACTAAATCGCCGCAAAGAAAATTGACAGTAAAAACCGTGAAATTACATTGTGAAACGGTCTCGTAATTATTATAGCACGATAAGAATGAATCATAACCATTTTATTATAAATAATGTCATACTAAATTCTGATGTGTAATGGTAAACCAAATATCGTGAAATTTAGATATAAATAAATATATCTAAGTCTACTAATATTTTAGGTCTGAACCTATATGGTTTTCAAAAGTATGTTTTACTTTAAACAGAACTCCGTGCCTTGGAGAACATGTTAAGTCGTCGCGTCGGTCCCAGGTGCCATAGAAACATCTGTGGTTATAGTTACGGGTAGTTAAAGCCCTAAAAAGTCTAAGAGCTGTATATTTACAGAACTTCGATATCGCCTAATACTTGAGTTGTGAAGATCTGATGGCAGTCACTCCAAGTAAAAAATCGAAGTTCAGCCGTATCGTAGTAGACTAAATGCGAACCCGACCCAAACCATACCAATTAGGGGAAAGGCTCAGAAGGTGGATTGAAAAGTCACATAACATTCTAAATCTCTTATACTCGTAATTTATTCATACATAACATAACATATACACATAACATATTATACTGTAGATATAGACTAATTAATTACTTTCGTAAAACCACCGATTACAGTGACGACATAACCTTGAAAGCGATTTTTATTTAATTACTCCCAATTACTGTGAAATTCTTAATAAGAGATTAGCTGCTGCTTTAACTTAAATACCATTTTTAATTTGTATTTACTTTGTTACTTGAAATATATTCTGTCTTCTCTCAAAATTATTGCCCGATTTTGCAAAATTTTTCATTGATGCTCGGCTGCTATTAGTCGTAGCGTAATGTTATACAGCCTATAGACTTCTAAGATAAATGGGCTGTCATACACTAAAAGTTTTGTTTTATTCGAACCAGTAGTCCCTGGAATTAGTGCGTTCAACCAAACAAACAAATAACAAACTCTTCAGCTTGATAGTATTGTAAAAGATAACTGGAAATTTATTGATTATGTAAGGTTTTAATAATGTAATACAATATGAATGACAATTTACAAAAACATATATTGAATATTTTAAAATGAGGGGAAAAAACACTAAGTGATAACTTCCATGTTCATCGCAGAGTGAAGTTGGCATAAAGTAAAAACAGAGTAGACACTTACAGAAAGATTTAATCATAGACTAATATTATTTCTAACAACATATTTTACTAATTTATAATTATTGACGAGAAGGTTTGGATGTGTATTACTAAATCGTATAGTGATTAACTACAAGACAACATAATTTGTACATTGTATTTTTTCCACCACCTGATTCGGTATGAAACTGTTAGGTTTAAAAAATATCTCAAATAAGATAAATTTTATTCTGAAATGTCGATTATTTGTATATTTTATGATGAAAGTACCGTATCAAAAATAACTAACCTTCAAACAGAATAAAGTAGGTACTACTTAAGTTTACTTATTTCAGCAAAAGATTACGTTTTTTATCAATCATTAAGTGTGATATAAAATATAATAAATGGGACATGCATTTTTTTTATAGTTCTTGATTGGCAATTGGTACACATGGCTCACAAAGGCTGGTCCCTTTTTATCAGAGGTATTTGCCTACGATACGGACTATGTAACACCACCATTTTTCCAATTAATGTTATAGTGCCATGCTTCGCACATACAGGTAGGCTCTACCAGAATACCAGAGAGAAAGCCTATTAAACAATTCTTTCGTTGCTTTTCATCGAGGGAATAAGGTTACCTCAGACATAAGCCCCACCCATTCCCTCACCGCATTCGTAGTCACTCAGGTGACCTGACTGCTCGTTTACCTATACTACTATAGCCTATTGCCGTCCACTGCTGAATGAAAGCCTTCCCAAAAGAGCGCTTACTATCCCGGTCTTGGGCACTCTGCATCCAGCCACTGCCAGGCATTTTCCTCAAGTCGTCGGACCATCGCACTGCAGGGCGCCCTACACTACGTTTGCCTAATTGCGGTCTCCACTCTAGCACATGTCGGCTCCAGCGACCATCAGTCTGCCTGGAGACATGAGCGGTCCACTTCCACTTCAGCATATTGATTCTTTGTGCGATGTCGTTTACTCCAGTTCTCTGTTTGTCTGTTTCGTAAGTTCGTTAATTTTGCCCCCAACACCATAAAAAAATGCGAATGTAAGTTTCTTTGTTTGTTACGCCTTTACTTCTTAACTACTTCACCGATCATTATGAGATCTTTTAGCATGAATCTTCTTCTTTCTTTCTAAAACTTGATCAATTATTTCTAGAGTAAGCACTAAAAAATGTTATTGCTGTTTTTAATGATTTTGTAAATTTTTCGTAATGAATTCGCCATTGTTTTCGGGTGACCGCCCAAATGGTGAAATCAACATCTTGCTATCTGCCATTGACCGCAATATTCGTGTGTCACAAACAAACTCTACCTATATACTTTGTCTACGCGATTTTTATCTTAGTACATCTTACTGAAGGAAGTCACAAATACTCATGACTCATGGACAATAGGATGTGCTAGAAATAAACAAATCGAACACAGGTCTGTTGGGCTATATTAATACGAAGTCATGACGCAAGAAATGCAAGATACCTTAAAATCACATTAGAACTCCGTAGCTCACTGCTTGGAGTTCTGTAAACGATACTCATCAGAAGGAGGAGGCAAAGAAAGGTTTACTACGGAAATACTAGTCGAACTTTCTTTTTTCTTTCTTTATTCTTATTCTTTATCTTACCAAAATGTTATGCCATAATTATGGCTCGCACTGTCAAAAAGTTTTCAGATCTCATGTTAAGACAAACTTCTAACTCTACATGCCTTAACTCTACAAGCTCTAGCTCCACAAACTCTACACCTTAGTCAAAATATGTGGGTTGGTGGTTTCGCTACGGTCCCATGGGTGTAAGGGGGAAAAAAATTCGCTTCCACCATATCTCAAAATTTATTCACTGTACACTACTTTTCTGTTATACAATAGTTCTTATAAAAACGAAACGGCCAGGCCACATATTTTCACTAAGGTGTAGAGTTTGTGAAGGGCTCGTAGAGTCGAAAAGATGGAGTTAGAGGTATGTCTCTACATGAGTTTAGAAGGCCAATTCTCGTAATAAAAGTTCGGCCACATTTCAGTTCCGATCTAGTTTCGATCTCACAACTGTCATTTAAGCTACTTTCGTTGTAAAATATTAATAAGACTAGAAGATTACAGACTTAATTTTCGGTTACAATACGATATAATCACATTACAGTCAACATTCACATTACAGTTAATCTAAGACCTGTAACTAACCTATGTTTCCGCAAATAAATGATGATTATGATTATTAAATGTTTAATAATTTACTACGAAAATGCCTTTTATGAAAATTGTGATAGTTGATCGGAACTGAATTGAGACCGAACTTTTAGTACGAGAATTGGCTTTCTGATAACTTTTCGACAGTGCGAGCCATATGGTCTCGTCTTGGCAACATTTTGCATTTTACCAGCAACAGTTTGCTTGGCTGTCAAAAATTATAAGTAGCAATAATAAATACACATACAACTTTAAACCTTTGCAATACTTCAGTTAGTATTCCTTTACTTATAAACATGAATTTGAAATTTACAGAAGTAAGTAATAGTTCTGTAAATTTCAAAGGAAATAGTCTTCCACTAGAACAACAAGAAATTGTTTAATATGTTCAACAAGTTATGTTGCCAAGAAATAAAATTTAGTGTCTGTTTGTTTTATCATACCCAAGAACATGATTATGTATACGCTAGCACAGCACACATGGGCATTGTTATAATAATAAGTTTTAAAATAATTGTAAGGTATTTAATAAAACAACATGTACTTATTCGTAAAAAGCATCGTAATATGTAAAATAGTAATAAAAAATAGTAAAGCATCATAATATGGAAAATACTAAAGAATAAAATCTCGATTGCCGTCAAATCATTTATAAAATAACCTAGCGTGCTATACATTTTTTTTTTGCAAAATCTAAAACAAGTCTAAAAATACCACTTCCTACTAGAACAAAACAGTGAACTATGAAAAGTCTCTGCAAGGTTGATGATTTACTTTGTTAAAACCTCTGTATGAATATTAGGAATATTTGTGTAATTAGAATATAATCAAAACCTTTTAATACGTCGTTTAGTCTTACGTTTATGTACATTAGTTATCGGGTCGTATCGTAATAATATTTAAAATTCTACTAAGTTGTTAAGTATCAGATATCGGATATTGAAATACTTGGCTTTGTCATTCATACCAAAACATCTTGTATTAATGAATATATTCATATAAAGATATAAAAATAAAAAGCGGCTACAATCTTTTTTGGTACTGTTCGTTGTTGGCATGCGTTACGACGTTTCGTTCCTTTAAATGAAGTAGAATTCCACAATGTAGAATAAATTGTGAACTCTAGGGAATAAAAAAAACGCATAACTAACTACTCATGTAGATTCATAGGGATGTATGTACTAAATGTATTAACCAGCAAGGATTACTAACTTTTTTTGCCTTTTATGCATACATGGTTGGCATGACCATGTTTATGTCCAGAACGGCTGCAGTGTAATATTGCTTCATCTTCAATAAGGTTTACTGAATATTTTCTCTACGAGTCTACCTATAAATATGTTCAAAACTATGAGTAGTAATAAGTTTTTAACATTACTGTGATAATGGTGTAAAGATATTAGTTTCTTTAATAATTATTTATAAATAAAAATTAAAAAGTCCTCATTAAAGAAAACTTTCAGCTTCACATTATTGTTATAATATAAATCAGTAACACCTCCTTGTTCTAGTTCTCGATTGTCCGTACCGATCGTGATTCATTTTACATTCAATCCAAGTAGATATTCCGGTTACGATAATTTTAATAACAGTTAAAAGAAAGACCGTATTTTAGTTACAGTATTAGGTAGTTACATATGCATGCACAAACCTTTAAAATGTCATAACTGTTGTACTGAATCTTATGAATTGAAGACATAATTTTTGATGTCAGTGACTTTAAGTCCGTTAAATACTAGCAACTCGTTAACTTTAATCGAATAATTTACTTGCCCTTTTTTGCAATGAGTTCTTTTTGTCATTCTTCGCTATCATTTGTCAGTTTACTGCATATCTACTTTTAGCCTTTTCTTCTTTCTCGCAGTCCATACATCCTTTCTTTGGTCTTTCTAAGAGAAAGACCAAACATTTATATCCCGCCACTTCCATACATAACGCTATCTGGGCCCTATTGTCCCTCCGCTTCTCATGTCTGCTGCTCCTTAACTTTTCACCTACTTGCGGTGCCACGTCAAGGTGCGTTCAATTAGTTCATTCTTCCTTGTATATCCAAGTCACACTACACATCTGTTCAACATTCGCATTCACCTATATGCATGAGTCTCTCGTCCGTTCTCTTTGTTGGTCAACATTCTGATGGTCGTCTTTTAAATTTCCTTTTAGTTTAATAGGTAACCAAGGATCACATATAATTCCATTGTCAGCAGTCACTTATAATTCATTGGAGAGAGCTCCAATCTAAAGCCAAAAAGATTTTGTGCTGTTCCTTTCTGTTTCTTGCAAGACAAATAATAAAAAAGAGACAAGAACTGTTAAAGTAAATACAATCAGATGCTTAGAAACTGAACAGTTCCACTTCCAGCTGTTCTTAAATCAAAACAGCAATACGAATAAAGAAATTACATAAAACACTTTCACCATTCAGTCAACCGCTGTTATAGTGAAGGTGAAGGTTAAAGGTAAAGTTCATTTGATACTTATTTTAGATTCACGAGTCTTCCCTGGGTCTTAAAATAGCTACAAGTCATTTGTGTCCAAGGTTTTTTTAATGTTTTTTTATGTTATTTCCAGTGTGTAAGCACGGGTCGTCATGGCACGTGGCGGGGGCGCGCGTGGCTCGCGCCGCTTATCGCGCCTTCTCGGCCGAGCGTCTCGATTGTTGGTTAGCAGTGCACGTCGGCCTAAACCACGTCAACGTCACGCTTACTGGTAAGGTCCTTGTCGCAGGAGAATGTAAAAAAGTATTTAATTCTAAGTTTCAATTTAGAATTTTTTATAAATTTATTTAGAAAACAAGAATACTAAACTTGTTTTAAAAACCCCTGTTTTCTTATTGTGTCTGTTTAAGTTTTTCTCTATTTTAATGTTGGTTATTTTCTAAAACCACTTAAAACTGGACCATGTTTTAACGGCTTGTATGATATCGTACAGTTGTGCATACAATAAAGTTCAGTAAATCTTACTTTTATTTTATTTTTTAAATATTCATATATGTATTAGAAATAAAAAGTATATAGCGTTATGTTTGAGATTCGTGAAGACACAGTTGTTAGCATATATCTTGAAAATACATTTTGAACTTTTAAATTGTTTTTAATAAATCTCTAATTTCAGCCCTGTCTTGGGGCAACGCCAGTGTCGGTGACCCTGGGGTGGATTATAATGAACAGTTTCGATGGGAAGAAGCGGGGGCCATTCAGGAATTTTACCGAGAGGCTTTGTCGCGCGGTCTACCTTTTCCTGTGCTCTCAGTCGCAGAACACTTTGCTGTACAGCATGAGGGATTCGAATGGGGAGCAAAATATCGCGCCGCTGGGTATACGACTTCGACGCTATTATGGTATGAATATTTTAGGCAACGATAATCACCATCGTACGTTGGACCTCTGTCCGCATCCTAGCTGGGACGCTGTAAGTTGTCCAATGTGTTCAGATCACGGTGAGGGCTAAGTCATATAAAACTATAGGATACAAAGAAATATTTTGTTGATAAAAATCCATTCTTGAGGACTGACTATAAAAGCTATACAACTATGCATGTCAACTTCTCCAATAATAATTATAAACATATATTATATTTGCTACAGTTGACAGCTAAAGCGCAAACCTACGCATATTTCATATTTTAAGCACGCATTTCTAGCTTAAACGGAAAATACAAAATTAACCACGTTAAAGGCTTTTCGGAACTAAAGTAAGCTAAGCTGAAGTACAAAGTCAATAAAAAAATAAGATAAAAATTATGCTGGTAGATGTGACACATTTTTACAAATAGCTTCGCGTACTTTGTTTTTAGTAAGATTTGGTAATGATTAGGATTTGTGACAGGTTGTCTACACACCTAGCTACATCCTTTGGATAATACTTTTCAGTAACTTAAGTTTTATGGTTGATATGGCAGTGGTAGCTCCAGGCAAGATGGCGGAATATCTACTTTCCGCCAGTAAACGGCTGAAGGAATTCCGTTAGCCATATCTTTCTGTCACATTTTATTGAGAGTGATATTTCAATGTCCATTATTATGGTAGAAATCTTAGAAAGAAGAATTTACTATTTGTTTTTTTTTAAGTTTCACATCACATCACATCAACAGCATTTAATAGTTGACTGCTGGAAATAGGGCCCTCCTCAGAAAGGAGGTTTTGGCCTACTCTACCACGCTGACCAGACGAATCAGTATTGGGTTTGTTTCAAGTTTTTCTTCTCTTTGCAGTGCTGTGGTCCTACGTAATTTGATCCCTTAGTCGGCTCTTGCGACACCTTCGGGATAAATAGGAGTGGTGCCACTTCATGTTCTTACTCCATCACCACACGGATAATTCTTTAAGTTTACTGGTAGATTATCCGTCGAAGTTCTGATAGTCATCCGTTTGCTTTACTGTTAAAGGACGGCGCTGGCCCTGTGGTTGTTGATGAACCTTCTACTCGTGGTAGTGCCTCGCTATGGTGCATACGCTATGGCAACGTTAGGCGTGACGTTGTGTGCAGCTGCGGGAGGCTACTGGGCATCGCTGCCTCATGTACCTCTCGTTGTGAGACTTGACGGTGCTATGCTGTTCTTCTCCCTAGGATGGTGTTTCTGGCTTGTTTTAATTGCAGGTATGGCTCATATCTTTGAGTATATTTTTAACTAAATATTTTTTTAGTCCTGCCTAAATATTGAGTTTAATAGTCATGTTTTAAAAAAATCCCCAAAACACGAGCAGGAGCCTTCATCTCGTCCCAACTAAAAATGAAACTTCAAAACATACTAATGACCCTTCATGTTTCTTTAAAGTTAGAACCTATAATATCTATCTGTAGTGTTCTTAATTATAATTAACTTCCTGTTAGAATTTTCAATTAACAGTTAGTTAAGATTAAGCAAAGCGAGTTTAAAATACAATTGTTACAAAACTATAATGTTGCAATTTTCCCGTTCAAACGAGTGATGAAAGTAGTCATCTATCACCAAAAATAAACACATCTCGTTCAACAAAGATATATAATTAGCCTTTAAAAAATGTTTTAATAATTCCAGGCTGTGTCTGCGTAACGGTGGGTCTAGTGATCGCAATACTAGACCTCGTCTGGCCGCATAGGTTCTCCACTGTCCTGGAGGTGGACTACGATACTCCATATGATCGCCACGTGCTTATTGTCGACAGTCGGCAGCGAGCACGACCACAAACACAAGCCTCGTTACCAACGAGAATACTTAGGTAAATATAGGCGATTTTTATAACAGAACTTAATCTGACTTCTTATTGAAGAGGTTCGAGTCAATCACATTGCATCACATGAACAGCCTCTTATAGTCCACTGCTGGACATAGGCTTCTCCTTAGAAAGGAGGGTTTAGTAGGACCTGGCACTATTTAGTATATAAGCTAATTTATAAAAACAGTATTTTAACACTCAAATTATATGTAGATAAATACATTATTAATTTCAGCCTAAAAGATTTAATTAACTTAATTTCTCAAATTACTTTTGAAGTTTTAAGGATAAAGGTTAAGGGTCATTTACTTTTTCTTTGTTGGAATCATTGCAGGAGACTGTCATCAAAAACACGTGACACAGAAGGGCAAGTGTCGGTGTCGGTAGTAAATGAAAGAGGGCGGGACAACCCCGCCTATCAGCATGAGCAGAGAAAACCCAACTCACCGTGGAGGTATCCCCTCTTTAGGAGACAGATTGACAGGTACGTAGTTACTAATTTCTGTACTTTTTTCGCCTGAAATATTTATTTACAATTTAATAGAATCACTACATAAATTCATAGTAATCCGCTTCGGTTTGGAATGCACTATTGAATATTGATTTTATCTTATAAATTTACATACATATTTTATTCGCAAATTTTATGGAAAAAGGTGGTCTTGTTTTTATTTTAATGGACCGGTAAGCAATATTATCTCAAAACGAAATGAATTTATAATAACACATAAGTTACATGTGCACAATGATCCGTTTTCGACACATCTAATAATTATGCTATAAAATATATGTACGTATTTTCACATTCACATATTCGTGAAGATATTATAAGTTACAGTCACGGAGATAGAAAAAACTATTCAGGAACTTATTGTAACAGCATTTCATTTGGTTGCCAATATTTTGCCTCCAAAAAATCTAATTATATTCTCATTTGTCGTAGACCGACGCTCATTCTTAGTTCAAATAACCAGTGTACTCTCATAAATCAAAAAGTCTCTAGCAAAGGGTCATTATCATACGAAGTTTTCATAGGTATATGATATTTGTCTTTCAGAGCCGACTCGGCGTCAAGTCTAGGATCAAGTATAAACGGTAACAGTTCCGGCATTAGGATGTCGCCACTGGCAACGAGTGGCGTCACAGCTGCGCCTCCTCCCTCAATCCCTCCTCATAGGTAACTTACATTTATACACAATATAAGAACTGACACCATTCACCACATTTAGTTTTAGTGGTAAGTCTATTTATTTATTGGTTTACCAGTAATTATTACACAAAAACATTCGTAAAAAATAGAACATAGTATTGACCTTATCTAAGTGCATAACTTATGTAGGTAAACACCGCATGCATATAATCTAATATGGCTTTAAAAAAAGAAACAAGAACAACTTGTATAAAAAAAAAAGAAAAACAAAACTACCTATTAACAAGGGTTGTGAAAAAAATTGGTTGCCTGTAAAGTCGGTATACGGGCGAAAGTTTTACGTGACAACGACTTTGAGTGGTAAAATAATTTTAATGTGAATATTCATTCGTATAGTAGGAAGAAGGATGAAATAATAGTAACAATTTAAAACATTTATTTATACAAAGAATTATATTTAAAACATTAATTTATACAAAGAATCTCGCACTGAATTTCATATTAACAAAATTTTATTTTTACCTTCACACATACGACGCGTGCCTCTCACTTTTATTTTTCTACTTTTGACGTGACAACGTCTTATAAATTGGTTTGCCGGGTGACACTTCAAGAAACTGCGTTACGCTCCGCTCACGTTATGCGCTCACAATGAGAGCGAGTGAGAGGCACGCGTCCCTTCCACTCGGGCATGGTTAGCCCACCTAAGAGCGAGAGAGACAGACATAAAAAATGAAATTCAGTGCGAGATTCTTTGTATAAATTCATGTTTTAAATATAATTCTTTGTATAAATAAATGTTTTAAATTGTTACTATTATTTCATCCTTCTTCCTACTATACGAATGAATATTCACATTAAAATTATTTTACCACTCAAAGTCGTTGTCACGTAAAACTTTCGCCCGTATACCGACTTTACAGGCAACCAATTTTTTTTTAAATGTTTTGTATTAAACCGTTTCCTTGTTTTCAATTTTTTTACTTAATAGAATAATTTTATGTGCACTGAACATTACGAAACTTCTACACACTTGTTAATTTAGGTCATTATGTATAAGTTTTGAAAAATAAATATTACCAAAGCCGCAACTAAGTAGCTCTTTCTCTCTGTTACTTTTTATACCTAAAACCACTAAACCAATTTTGATGAATTTAACCTAATATTAAAGTATAAAGATAGACTGCAAAGAAGAATATGAAGATAGAGATCGTTATTAGAGGAAGATATAGGCTCCCTATTGTCTTGAAATTAAAACACGAAAGGAAAAAATAGAGATAAAACTTTGTAAATGACTGATTCTACCCAGAAGTTGTTGACACCAACTATTAATGAATAAACTAATAAATTAGTAACTAAACTAAATTATACTTATTTTACTAAATTAGAAACTAATAAACTAGTAAATTTATTTTATCAACGTGTTTCAGGTACCGCCCACAAATACCGGCAGCCGAGCGGGTAAAAGACATGTGGTGATAAGATTAGTGTATTTATAGCATAAATTAATCAATACTAGTATACACTTTACAAAAACAATAATCGTGTTATGGACCTTATCAAATAAATTGCTGATCTCTAGTGCAAAAGCGAAGGCAGTTCTTTTTAGATGCAATTGGAAGCATAATATAAACTTAGTTGAGATTGTGCTACAAAAATACAACATAGTAAGTAAAACTAGTAAGTATAAAGACATGAATATAATTTCCAGTCTATGTTTATTACACAAATTCGCCTAGAAAGGTCAAATACAACAACTTTGCCAGTGGAAAGTAAATAAATTGTAAATATGTAAATTTATAGGTAGGTATCTAAATTGTATGTAATGAATCTGTCCAGTGTCATACATTAAAATACCTAGGATATAGTGTTGTATACCTTTTGTGAACTAATGTCAAATGAAATAATTGACGGCATCGACACAAAATGAACTCTTTGTGCCATGTAACGCTATAAAACAAAAAATATTTTTGATTAATGTAAATTGTAATAGACTATCTTATCATCAAACATAACACTGGATTATGTATAATTGAATTATTTCAAGAGAAGACAGGTATATTGACAAACTCATATTCAATGACATAAATATTGTTGTAATAAATAATGGAAGTTCCGGCATAAAAAACGGCGTACTCTTATCTGGTATTTGAATGTATATAGAATAAGTAGTATATTACCATATTTTGTTTGTCAGATAATACAAGTACCTGTAAAATTACATTTTTAAACTGTATTAAATGAAGTACGATGCTTTAGCTTATTTTTTTATTGCGTTTTTTTATTAGCTTTGTTTTTTTAATTAAATATGACCTCTTCAAATGTCGAATTTTCGAAATAACAGATAAGAGCTGGTTCTTATAAAGCCGTTGTTTTTATTTAAACTTCGCATAAAATTTTATAGGAATCGAGGTTAACTGACATATCCAATTAAATTGAATGACAACGAATTAGTGAAAATTATTCGGTATTCTATTAATAGAAGAACGGAGTCATTTAGTTATATTTTTAGTTTATAAGTTATTTATTTCTAAAAATTTCTGCGAGTGCAAACGTATTGAGTGTAGCCATTTCGAATAACAATCACAATTTATAATCTACGTCACTTAGTCCTAACTACAAACCTTACGGGACATATTCAATGTTGTGAAGATATGTTTTGCAACAGTGAATGTGTATTGTACTTTAATATTTTAATTGTACCTAAATAATAGTGAGCATATTGTGAATGAATGTGTTTAATTGTATTTATTGAAATTGAAAAATACAGAAATTCCAAATATAGTTTTCTTTTATTTTTCACTGTGATTGCACTTACGAGTATGTCCTTATTTTTTTACGAAAATAGGAATAGCACGAATGAAAGAAAAGAAGAACGGTGTGAAAAATGCATGAGCAGTTTTTCATGCATTTTCTTCTAAACCAGGTTTGAGACAGATGTTAATGATATAAATAAAAATTAAACCAGTCGAGAGCAAGTTTAAACTTGCGCAGAGACTGTTACGTACTAGGAGTGTGTACCCATAATGGTTTTTAGTCAGACTGACTGAACTCGTGCATTCTGGTCTCCTGCCAAGGCTGTCCAATGGAATTTCTGTTGCCAATCCTTTCTACCCCTGCAGATGGGTGATAATTCGTTGGCCTATGATGCCAAGAAGAAAGCCGATCTCCTAGGCAAACTCTGTGCATCCAACTCCACTTTGGATGACGGGGGAAACGTACCGCCGACCATACCGTGGTGCGAGGGCTATATACCGGATTTCCGTTTCACACAAAAATCACTACGTAAAGCTCTCTTGACGTTCATTGTCGTCCCGAACTCCTGGAAGGTAGCGTTTGTGTACCCGATCCCTAAAAAAGTCTCTGCCCGTCCAACTACATGCCTATAGCCATAAATCCTTTGTTCTCTAAGATTATGGAATCCATAATCAACAGCCAGCTCCTCCGGTACTTAGATGATCACCATCTACTCAATGACCAACAATATGGTTTTCGCCGGGGTCGCTCAGCTGGTGATCTTTTCGTCTTGCTAACACACCGGTGGGCACAGGCGAATGAGACCAAAGGAGAGGCTTATGCGGTTGTTTTGGACATAGCGAAGGCCTTCGATCGGATCTGACATAAGGCGCTTCTCTCGAAGCTCCCTTCCTTTGGCCTTGCCGAGAAATTGTGTAATTGGGTTACCTGTTTCCTGGCGGACAGAAGCATTAAGGTAGTTGTCGACGGTGCATGCTCCGAATTGAAATTTGTACACACACTGTTTCTTCTGCATATCAATGACATGTTGCAAACTAGTAGCATCCATTGCTATGCAGATGATAGCACGAGAGTAGCCCTTTATACCGACCGCCCCAATATTTCTCGCGAAAAGGTCATTGAGAGTCGAAAACACACTTGTGTCTGAAATTGAAACTTCCTTAGCGGAGGTTTCAGATTAGGGCAGACTAAATCTAGTCCAGTTTAACAAAACAAAGACACAGGTTTGTGCGTTCACCGCAAAAAAGATACCATTTGTCGTATCACCTCATCCTAGGGTTCGACATATCGAGACAAATCCAGTTTCGGGGTAAAGGGTAAGGTTAAATTGGCCTCGAAGAAGCTCGGTCTGCTGAACAGTTCGAGGCAGTATTTCACTCCGGCCCACCGCCTTCAGCTCTATAAGGCGCAAGTCCGCAAGGCCGCATATGGAATACTATTCCCATCTCTATGCAGGTGCTCCTCAGCACCAGCTTCTCCCTCTGGACCGCATCCAATGAAGAGCGACTCATCATATAGCCCAAACATCTCTATAGCGTTACGTAGTTGGCTTCGCTCTGCATTCTCTATCGCATATAGTAGAGTGCTCCCAGGAATTGTTCGGACTAATACTAGCCGCAAATTTCCGCCGTCGTTCCACACGGCAACATTTTCATCCTCATTACCTGGATACTGTGAGCTTGCTGGATGCGCTCCACTACTGTGCGCTTTTCGAGACACTTTTTGCCCCGCACAACAAATCTCCGGAACGGGTTATCGTCTGCGGTATTTCCGGACCGATACGACATTCAAACCTTCAAGAAAAGAGCGTATTCCTTCCTAAAAGGCCGGCAACGCGTTTGTAACTCCTGAGTTGCAGATGTTCATGGGCGGCGATGGTCACTTTCCATCTGGTGACCCGTCTGCTCGTCTGCCACCTCTAACATTAATAAAAAAAAACTTGAATTTGGAGCTGAAGAACATGTTCTCTCATACGTTACAACTGCAGTAACTGAAAAAAATGCAAAAAAAACCGGGACCTCATCGCAGTCATCGGAGGGGATATCTTGCTTCCGGCCGTCATTCGCTCCATTCCAAGGAGGTGGCGGAGAGGGTCCGGGAAGATTCCGTGCACGGCTGCTTACATTGCAGGTATTTTCACCTGCACTCGGTTGCGAGGAGGGAATGTAGCTTCGCTTGTCACCACTGCGATTGCAGTGAGGATTCAGCTGAGCACACGCTGGCGAATTGCCCGGCTTGGGCGCCGCAGCGCCGGGTCCTCATTGCAGTCATCGGAGGGGATTTCTCGCTATCGGCCGTCATACGCTCCATGGCCAGTAGTGATAGTTGTTTTACCGCGGTCGCATGCGAGATGTCTTCGCAGAAGAAGGCGGCGGAGAGGGCCCGGGAAGATGATCTCCACTAGGACCCAATTCGCCAACGAACCGAGCATTAAATTTTCAGATTAATATTATAGTGAGTGACATATGACGTGTGTGACATACATCATGTCGTAACTACAGTGCCACCAACTTATCTGTTCAGTAGACAAAATCGGAACTAAATCTGCGTCAATCTGCGTGACAGTTTACAAGGTGTGGGTGCTCTCTGTGTTTATCATTTGATTTTATTATTAAAACTACAATTAAAATGCCGAAAGCTCTTAAAAGTGATGCTAGAGTTATTATTTTAAAAGTTTTATCTTTTATGAACGAAGAAAAACGCCTCCAATCTCCAAAAATACCATTTGAAAAAGTGCCACAACGTGTTGCTGCCGCTACAGGTTAGTGTTATAGTCTAAGGACAGTAAAATTTCCCACTTAAATTATTTTAATATTCAGCTTATGTTTCATATTTTATTGCCTATATATATCCACTGAAAATTAGAAATAAAACTGATACGTCGCCCCCACTACTACTAACTAGTGCACCATTTTACTATTCTTTATTTTCATAAACGTTAAACGTATACCTACATTGTGTTCACTGTTTATTCCACCCGAATAAATAAAAAAAATAACATTATTTCTTAAGTTTGATGAGCCACTTTTTGTTACAGGTGTTAGTGAGCGATTTGTTTATAAATTAATGAATGAAGAAAAACGAGCTGAAGATACTAATACTAAAATATGTACACCTCGTAAAAACAGGGAAAGGAAAACAGGGAAACTAGAAGTTGATGACTTTGATATTGGTGTGATTAGGAGAAAAATCCATGAATTTTTTTCAGTAAAAAAAGAAATTCCTTCTGTAACCAAGCTATTGAACATTTTAAGAGAAGATATCAATTTCCAGGGGAAACGTGAATCACTCAGAAAGTTGCTCCACAAAATAAGATTCCGCTTTAAAAAAACCAAATCAAATAGAAAAGTGCTTTGTGAGCGTAATGATATAGTCGCATGGAGGGCGACTTATTTACAAAAAAATCATAATAATGAGTGTGGTGAGGATAGACCAGTTACTTATTTAGATGAAACCTACATACACTCATCTCACTCAACTGGCAAGTGCCGGCAAGGCCCTGATGTCGAAGGCGATTTGGAACCAGTCTCTAAAGGTCACCGGTGGATTATAGTTCATGCAGGGGGAGAAGAAGGTTTTGTGGAGAATGCTCTGCTTTTATTTAAATCAAACACGAAAAGTGGTGATTACCACGACGAAATGAACAACAATAATTTTAAAAAGTGGACTCTGGAAAAATTACTACCGAACCTACATAAACCCTCACTAATTGTTATGGACAATGCGCCCTATCACAGCGTTTGCATAAATAAGTGTCCTAACTCTAACCGCACTAAGGCTGTCATGCAAGAGTGGCTATCTGAAAAAAATATTGAATTTTCAGAGCAAATGACAAAGCCTCAGCTGCTGGAGTTAATAAAAAGAAACAAACCTGCTCAGAATATGAAATTGATAATTTATTAAAAAGCCACGGTCATTCTGTCCTTAGGTTGCCTCCATATCATTGCGACTTGAACCCCATAGAAATGATATGGAGTTCAATGAAGAGAAATGTTGCAGAGCAAAATGTTGGGAAGTCAAGTGCTCAAATGCCCCAGTTAATTGAAAATGCATTTTGCAAGATCAGTTCAGCAGAGTGGAAAAACCACTGCCAACACGTGAAAAAAATTGCATGTGAGTACAAAAAAAAAGGATGCTCATTTAGATGAACCTTTCCTTATTCAATTACAGAGTGATAGTGAAAGCGATTTAAGTGATTCAGATGATGAGCCGTGGGTATCACCAGACTGCCCCACCACCAGTTCATCATATTCTATTGGAATTCCTGGGGTGCAGCCACTAGAACTTAGAGATCACGACCACAATTATTTTTATAAAATATAATGTAACTAGTTTAGTATAATAAATCGTATTATCTGTTTGCAAAACAAAATATTTCTTTCTTTTCAACTAATTTATAAATTATATAGTTATGATATTTAAACATTAATTAATAAACTCCGATCAATATTTAAAATTACAGCTCACGTGATTTCGTATGTTTCAAATACCCTAAACTCCTGATAATTTTTTTAAATAGCAACACCTATCGCTCCAGTAGCGACGCCGTCTACTGAACAGATAAGTTGGTGGCACTATACTTGCCTTTCTACAGACCTTTCAGACCTTCAGACCTTTGACACATTGCAAGTGTTGCAACATATACATGTATGTATGTATATGTTGCAACACTTATACATACAATAAGGTCTTCTCTACCTTTTAACAATAACCTAAAGCCTAAAGTTGAAAAATAACTGTTACTACATCAATAAATTTATCAATTTAAATAACATACGCAATAAATTTTTGATAAATAAACGAGTGCGAATGATTGAGTTTAATATTTTAAATCATGACATGCCTTAATTTGTCGTTTATTTGTATTCTGCTTGACACATTGTAAAATTTTATTTATTAATTTTTTATTGTTGTTTTAATATTTTTTAATGTTTTGTATTATTATTAGGTCTTTACCTATCAACATGTGAAAGTACTTATTTTTTAACTTTTTTATTTCTGTTATTCGAAGTAATCACCCGTGCAATCGACGCATCTTTGCCAACGCATTTTCAGTTTATTGATGCCCTTCTTGTAAAAATCAGCTGGACGGGAGGCAACAAACTCTTCAAAGGCATTTTGTACTGCCTGTCGGGAATTGAATTTTTTACCCACTAAAAAGTTGTCTAAATTTTGGCAAAAGTAATAGTCGGTAGGTGCAAGGTCTAAAATAAGTACTTTCACTTATTGCATACAAAACGGCAATTTCATAGGTGTAAAGACCTATTATTAATTTTTAGACATTTAAACACAATTATATGATTGATTTACGAATACGTACCAAAGGATTTAATTAGCATTAACGTACCAAAGGTTTTAATAAGCATTAGTTCAAAACTTAAATGTATTAACTCGTGTTTATAGATTTATTGCTTGTAACCCAAAAAGAGCTAACGTTCTAATAGAATCATCCTCATCATCAACAGCCTTTATTAGTCCCCTGCTGAATATAGGTCTCTCCTTATAAAAGAGCCTCCTATACCACTCTGGCCAAACGGGTTGGTATAGTGTTTGTGTCAAGCTTTCCTTCTTTTTGCAGTGCTGTTGTCCTGCGTAGTTTGCTCCCTTAGTCAGCACACAGTCACACCCACGGGATGGATAGGGGTGGTGACACTCCATATTCTTAATCCGTCACTACACGGATATTGGACAGACTGATGGAATCATCTATGCAAAATACCTTAATCGGCCTCTACCTGCCTATCCTGTTTATAAAAGTCGTCTTCAAAATGAAATTAATCTAAAATCCAAATTGACCTTCATCCGATTTAAAATAATAAGACTGGCATACCATCATTATAATATGTATTTCAAAAAACACACACCATAAATACAACTCACACAAATTCCATTTGAACAGATTAAAAATTTATTTATTGATTAATTATAATATACATGAACACACAAATATAATACTTCTAGATTTTCGTCAATAGCTAGAGCTCATTGTATTCCTAACACAAATTCAATTAGATATAACTGGTTAAAACTAAAATTAACCAAAATACTTTGCAAGATTACTTCCGGTTTATTAAAATGCCACCCGCACTCACTTCTGCTCTTTGACTAGATGTTCAAGATTTAGCTGGCACAAGAAAGCGTTCCAATTAACATAGCCAGTCTGTACTTCTAACTCAGCTTCTCCCCACAGCTTGCACTACAGAAAAAAAAGATAAGAAATCAATCTACTAATATAAAGAAGAAGCTTTAAAGTAGTCACATATAATAAAGCGCAAAAGTTTGAGATTCTAGCTCGTACAGCACACAACTGTTATACTCTTCGGTCCGTATACTACCGCATATAGCAAAATATCACACTTGATTATAAAGAAGACTTAACTAGGCTATTGACTCTCATTACATACCTCTGTATACTTCAGGGGTGGTGCGTGACGCACCACCTTTTCATAATCAGAATCAGTTAGGTTATATACCGGCCTCGTTTTAAAGTCCAGAAAATCCATAAGGTCTTGGTAATAAATGTTGCAGTTTTCATCTTTAGACAACCTGGAAGGGTAAATAAAAATAACTTTATATTACATAAATAACTACAATAATTTTTATTGTTCGTTACTATTCTGTTAAAAATAATTATAACAACTGATAAGGAAACGACAAAAAGATGTTGCATTTTATCAAGGATAAATTTTAGCTGCTATTTAACTAACATTTTGTTTTTTTTTATTTCACATCTCAACGACGATGTAGAATATGTTAAATCCCGTTTCATCAACAGCTTTTAATAGTCCACGGCTGAACATAGGCCTCTCCTTAGTAAGGAATTTTTGTCCTACTATACCATGCTGGCCAGACGGGTTGGTATAGGGTTTGTGTCAAGTTTTCCTTCTTTTTGAGGTGCTAGTATCCTGCATTGTTTTGCCTTAGTCGGCTCTTACGACACCCACGGGATGAATTGGGGTAGTGACATTCCGTATTCTTAATCCGTCACTACACGGACTGCAAATCCCATTTTCAAGACCTTATCAAGTGAAAACTATCATGGTAGTTAAATCAATAATACATCGTAGAATATAAAACCCGAAAAAGTAGTCTCTCTTTCTCCTAATCTATTAATAGAACAAGATATCCTGGATAGAAGAGTTCGTACAGTGCTTAGGAGTTCGTTCATCGGTGCTGAGGTTAAATATTTCACGAAAATGTGGTGGTTGTGGCTTTTTAAATTCCAGGGCCCTGGATAAGCGTGAGCTATGTAAGCTTAGGAATTACTTCCTTTCTGTTTATGAGGGTATGCATAGGGATGTAGTAGTCACTCCACTTGGTTTATGTAAAGACAACTGGCGCATACTTGCAGTACTTAACATTACTGATTGTAAGGAGATCATCATCATCAACAGCCTATAACAGTCCACGGCTGGACATAGGCCTCTCCTTAGAAAGGATATTTTTGCCGACTATACCACGCTGGCCAGACGGGTTAGTATAGGGTTTGTATCAAGTTTTCCTTCTCTTTGCAGTGCTGTTGTCCTGTGTAGTTTGTTCCCTTAGTCGACTCTTACGACACCCACGGGATGAATAGGGGTGGTGACATTCCGTGTTCTTAATCCGTCACCAAACGGACTGTTAAGGAGATATGGAAGGGCAAAGAGCTGCAGGGACGTTTTATCGGGCCTTGAGTATGCCAGAGGTAGAGAAACTGGCGTCTGTATTCTACGACTGGTTTAAGATTTTGTTTTTGCAATTACTGATGAAGTTGTGTTGACGAATAATTATCGGAGGTTTATCCTGAAGGGCGGCACAATAGACATTTGTCAGGCATGGCATTGTCCCGGGGAAAGCCTTAGACATATAATTTCCGATTGTTCTCGTCTTGCCAACGGCAAGTACTTGCACAGACATAACCAAGTGGCCAAGATAGTCCATCAGCAACTTGCCCTTAAGTATAGGCTTGTGGAATTATTGTACTACAAATATGTGCTCGACCTAGTTCTTGAAAATAGTAGTGCAACGTTGTACTGGGAACGCCCTATTATCACTGACAGGACTATTTTTGCCAATGAACCTATTTATTTTTTACGTGTGGAAACCCGACCGACTAAAACCACACGGTGTTCCACTCTGCGCCTGTAAAAGGAGGGCTCCGGGAGCTGCTGTTGTTAAGGGCACCACCTTCGGGTACATTCTCTATTTAGGCGTCACCTCCTCGCTGCTGGCTGTTAGGTGGAGGGAAAACCAATCCCGTCCACCCGCGGCGCCATACTCAGACCGGCATGAGGCACTGGTAAGCGCACTTCCGGTGCTCGGTTCGTCAGTTTCGAACGTTGGATTGGGTTGGAATTGGGTTCGAATGGAAATCATTCTCTCGGGCCCTCTCCGCCGCCTCTTTCTGCGAGATGACGTCTTAGCAGAAGGATGCGACCGCTGTAAAACAACTATCACTACCGGCCATGGAGCGTATGACGGCCGAGAGCGAGAGATCTCCTCCGATGACTGCAGTGAGGACCTGACGCTGCGACGCCCAAGCCGGGTAAATTGCCAGCGTTTGCGGAGCTGAGTCCTCACTGCAATCGCAGTGGTGACAGGCGAGACTCAATTCCCTCTTAGCGACCGAGTGCAGATGATGAAAGGGTCCTGTGCTGCCGCCCTGCCCACTCGACGATGACCAGCTGGATCGCCACCACGGCGGCATAACCAGCACGTGGAGCCTCCAGCCGTGACCACCAACAAACTACCGTAGTTCGACGAGCGGCCTCACGCCACTAGCGTACATCTTCGGTTGGGAGCCGACTGCCACTGTACTGCGGGTAAGACCTCCGGGCACATGTACAGGCCGCACGGAGGTCCTCTAACTCCTGGGGCCACCAGTAGACCTCCTTCCTTGGAGGCAGACGACCTCGGATGCGGGGAATGGCCGCATCGTAAATTTGCGTAATCGCATCGCGAAAGCGACCAGCCCCATGTCGACCTCCTGGGTCAGAGTCTGAGGAGACAGCCAGGAGTGAATTATAGCAGCCTCCTCCAGTAGATCCCTGTTCAGTTTAGCAACAGCCCACCGCGGAAAGCGGGAGGAACGCCGCGCCACGTGACCCCTACTGGGGTCCTGGGTCCGGGAGAGCTCAAATCGGATATATAAGTGATTCGAGAGTGTCTCAACCTCTTCCAGGACACGCCAGTTCCTTACTCATGTGGCAAGCGAACGAAAGGTCCACTATCGACACCCCTTCTGTCGCACGCACGTGTTGGTGAAGCCTCTGTTCAGCAGACAGATGCCCACCGAGGACGCCCACTCCTATACGGCCTCGCCTCTTGCGTCCGTCCTGGGGGAACCCCACGCAATGGACTTTGCGTTGAAGCCCCCCTAGGACAAGGACGTGTCCAGACGCTAGTCGCCGTAACGAGTTCTCTAAGCTGTTGGGAAAAACCTCGAAGTCACTCAAACTCCGGTTGAGGGAGCAGTATACACAGTATATAGTGATGCCCTTGTCTCTAAGCGACAAGGGCGGGGAATGAGTCGCCGTATATTGGCGGACGGCTGAGTTCCGGGCAGGTAGCGGCATTCGTCCCCGCCTGAAGAGATACGCGAGTGGCGTGAGGTAACTCGCCGAGAAACGATGGCTTGTTTGTCGTCCCGACTGGAGGCCCCACGAGCAGGCTTTGCTGCCGTGCGGGCGCTTCAGCCGGTCATCGTTGAGTAGGTAGGGCAGCAGCACGGGACCCTTTTCAGGTATTTTCCGAGCACGGCTGCTTCGGAAAATACATTTCATCCTACTTTCCTTTGCCTACTTTCCATCCGCGAGGAGGCGACGTTTGCAAGTGCCGGACGTCGAATAAATAGAGAATGTACCCGAAGGTGGTGCCCTCGCGGTTCCAGCAGGCGCTAGGAGGGGTCCGGATTTCTTATTAACAGCAGTTCCCGGATCCCGCGTGGTTTTAGTCGGTCCGATTCCGACACACCACCCTGCCGCAAACCCCGGTGGGATGACGGTCCGGAAGAGTTTCCACACGTAATAAAAAAAGAAAAAGGGAATATCTATCTTGATTATCAACATACACAGTTAAAATAGTAAATCGTATTTACACTTACACTTGCAACATGCAGGTCATAAGTTCAATGTTAATCGGCAGTCTGTGGGCACGTAACAACTGGCGCATGCGTTCAATGGATAGAACGCTTGAGCCTGTGTCGTCAGCATGAAGTAGACCTTCGAGGAGACGTTCACGGTCATCCCATAATCCACGAGTCAATTCAGTAAAGACCAGAGACCTTCAAAATAAATTACAGAAAATACAATAAAGATGCAAATCATGACCTGGTTTCTTTAAAAATCAGGTAAGTGAGTATAGTGAGTTCTTTTTATCCTCTTACTAAAATGTAGAATTCTGCTTAAAGTAAGTTTCTGTAGGCTGTAGTATTACTAATTCAATTTTATCTTTATAGCAATCAGTAGTGTAGGTTTCAGGAAACGTAAATATTTATACGCATTTATATGAGGGTAGGTAAAGTAGCACTCAATCGACTTCCTTTTCAGTATTTTATGACGTCAAGTTCTAAGCATTGCAGGTTTCTATAAAGCATACTTTACAAGCGATCGAAAACCAAGACTAGAAGAGGAAAAACTCCAAGAAGAAGACGAAATTGATAAAACCTTCTGACCGGCTTCTGAAATTCATTAAACACGAAGATGAGACTACTTTTATGTTTGCTCTCGATGCCACAGCCTGTTGAACGCCGCTTTGCAAAACTGAAAAGAATTGAAGGGTGCATGCACAAATTGTTGTTACCTAATCATCTCCCTGCGCGCACTTTTTTCTTTTCCCGGGTCCCCCCTGAAAAACCTTATTAGAGTTATGAACTCATGCTCAGTCATCTTCTCGCACATTATTTCTTTCAATGCTTGCCTGCAACAGTAAATTATTTGAATATATTTTTATTACGATGGTTAACTAGCTGTTGCCCGCGTCACTCTTACAGTGAAAGTTGTTCTTGTATTCTTTTGCCAATGCCTTCATTATAGAAAACCGCTTAAGTCTTTATAGATACTTACTTGAAACATCTTACAGACATAAGTTCTTTCTTTTCTGGGTGTACATTTTGCATATATCTTGCCACAAAATTTTTGTAACCGTTTTCTTGCGATGCCAATATACGTCGAATCTTGTCCATTATGAGCGGGACATGTGCCATATGATACTATAAAGAAAGCGGTAAACAGTCTATATGCTAAAAGTTTATTCTCGATCTCCTCAAACTATAAGAGAATCTCAGTGACAATACATATTATATAACATAGGTTATCGTTGCTAAGAACAGCTATAGTGAAACGTATGTATTGGCAACTTTATGTATATGTAATTATCTAGTGGATACTCACCTGTTCAGAATTAAGCTCCATATATCTGAGAGCATACTCGTCGGCAGCCACTAGTCGAAATCTGTGTTTATTGATGACTAATTCGTTTCCTACCCACATGTCTTTGTCTGTGTACGCCGCGGGTTCTTTGGGCACAAAGAAGTTTACGTCCGGCAGATACATTTTTGTGCGACGAAAAAATTTTCCACCCTGTATTAAGCGAAACTATTATTTTATCATTGCAAGGCGTTATAACTATGCAAAAACACCTTTTGTTACTACAGTACATTAAACTATAAATTTAAATTTAAAAATATATAACTAAAATTTGACACATTAAACAAACCGCTTGAAAGATTATTTTTATCTATTTTTCACCAAGACTCCCAGAGGAGTAACTCGAAGTTAATATCAAACCGTCTGACTGGCTTCTTAAATTATTATACACGAAGATACTACTTCTGTGCTTGCTCTCGATGGCACATAGTACACAGTAAGGTTTTTTAGTTTATCTTAAATACATAACAACAAATTAATATTGGCTGATGCTACCTACAAAACTGATCTAGTCAAGTTTTACCATATACAGACTGATCTTTAATTATCCTAGTTCACATACCGTGAAACCTGAGTTACGTTCGCCAAGTTCAAACACTCCAATCGTATCATCGCTTAGGAAATATTTAATAATAAAGTAACGTTTTGCATCTTCAGGGTTATCGTTGATCAGTCGTGCAGCGAAACGCAGCACATGAGAGTCAAAGCCGACCCTGACAAAATAATAAAAAATTAGTTTATACTTGATCTCTCTCCGCTAGACATGCACCTGTCCGTGTTAATGTCAGTAAGGATCGTATGACGAAAATCATGATGAAAAAGTCATCATTGCGAGAAAATACTGTAATTTGATTTCATAACTTTTAGATCTAACAAAGTGATCGAATTTATGAAATTGTATTCTAATCGATCGACTTTTTATTCTTATTTAAAACTCTTTGAAACAAGTTACCGGTCTTTGTGTAAAAATTTCATGAAATCCTTATGAGGTGCCTTAGGTTCACATGTACGACAATTCTCGGCCGAGTCATCATAAGAGCCATAGCCGTTCCAAGGCGGCAGTTCCCGTTCATCCATTGTTGAGCCGATACATTCTGAGCTTTCGTCTACAGGAGCTGGTATTGGCCTAAAAGTATCTAAACAAATTTTGGTTAAGGAAATCTTAAATGCATATTTCATGCTAAGTTTCAAACTTACCAAAACCATACGTAACGCGATAATATTCTTTAGTGAAAGGATCGCAATCGGTAATAAAGACTTTGCGTCCAAACACGTTGAGCACTGCACCAATACTAAGGTCTGCAGGAGAATATGATGCTACCTTTGGTCCACCCGTCATTTCTATTCGTGATGGGATTTTCTATAAATTGTTTATATCATTTAAACACTATAAGTTACATATGTAGGTAGGGTAGGTACCTACCCATTTCAAATCTAATTTAACATATACCTGTGAATAACAAACAACGATCAAAATATTTATTTGAGTTCTCCTAAGTAAAATAAAATGAATATAATGTAGTTACAATTATTGTTATTTTTGCAGTCGGTGTCAGCCAAGTCGGTGTCACCTACACCTTATAAGTGAGAAGTGCTTGCGTCGCTCGCATGTGTTAAAGTATTCTCGTATTATTATTGCTAGGTATATCGTAGTGTTTCCTTGGCTGACACCGACTCCAAAAATAACAATAATTGTAACTACATTATATTCATTTTATTTTACTTAGGAGAACTCAAATAAATATTTTGATCGTTGTTTGTTATTCACAGGTATATGTTAAATTAGATTTGAAATGGGTAGGTACCTACCTACCTTCTTGCGCGGTTAACACATAGATCGTACCTACATATAGATGAGTAGAAAAAGTAAGTTGATTATTAAGTTGTAGAAGAATATACATTTATTTTTTTCCTTTTTAGTGCATATTAATTTGTTTTTTTGGAATAGTGTTTTTTGAAGTCGGTTTTTTTTTGTTAAAATTTTTTGTTTATTTTTTGCTTTTTAGTGAATCTAAAGTACACTTACTAATTTGTCTGAATATGGGTAGACCTAATAAACGTGCTGCTCAAATGAGACAGCGCCGTTTGAATGAAACAAAGGGAGTCAGGAAGAAACGCCTATCTCAACAGAGGCAATCTACCCTGTGATGACGGATTAAGAATACAGAATGTCACCACCCCTTTTAATCACATGGGTGTCGTAAGAGTCTAGTGAGGGAGCAAACTACGCAGGACAACAGCACTGCAAAGAGAAGGAAAACTTGAAATAAACCCTATACCAACGCGTCTGGCCAGCGTGGTATAGTAGGCCAAAACCTCTTTTCTAAGGAGAGGCCTATGTCCAGCAGTAGCTTATTAAAGGCTGTTGATGACGACAATTACTTGACCATAACGACGTTACTGTAGGTGACTCAAATATCCAGATAGCCCATAAAAGATTCAGCCGAGTATCGTTAATTTACTCCTAAGAATTGAAGAGTGCCGTTACTTTGTCGTGGATCCCATCATCAGAATCTAACCAAACTCTCATCAAAGTATCCTTAAAGTACATCCATTCCAATAAAAAAAGAATTATCGAAATCGGTTCGCGTGAAATTGAGTTATTCGTCTATTTGTCGCGAACATACTAAATGCAAATTTAAGACTTATATGGTTTTCTCATGCATGCCATAATCAGAACTAAACCAAATTGAAATGGGACCACACGGGAAGCACCAGCTTTCAAATAAAAAAAGAATCATCAAAATCGGTTCACCTAGTCAAAAGTTCTGAGCTAACAAACATAAAAAAAAAAAAAATAGTGACCTCCTTTTTTTGAAGTCGGTTAAAAACGATTCTGTTCAGCAAAAACATTATGAAAGCCATCCATTGTTTAGAAAAATTAATGTTTAGATTGGATTTACTTTCATTTGATATAATTAAATGCGATTTATTATCTTTGAAAAAACTCAGTGTGAATTTATAGGACTTTGATTAAACAGATCTGGATCTAGCTAGATTTAAAAAAATAGAAATAACTAGAAGTGTGGTAGCGGCAAAATCACGGAATACTATAGACTATAAAATAGCTAACATAATATATAAAAAAATAATACGGACCAAAAGGAGGAAATTTAGTTATATTTCACAAAAAAGTATTTATTTTTCACCAAAAAGAAAATCTTTAAATATTTCATACAAAATTTTGTGTGTTCTGAATCATCTTCATCTCTCTAGATTAAAATTTCTACTGTTTAGAAATTCGGACATTATCGGAAATTTCACACAATTCTATTTTAGTTTATTTATTTAGTTTATATAGCATGCATATAAAATAAAATTGCATAACATATCCAGATAGCCCACTCCACAAGGCACTCATATTTGAAAACTTATATTGTGTTCCTGTATACCTACACAAATATGTAAGGACAGTTCGTGTATATTGAATTTATAAATGTTTTTTACACCCAAATTAGTCTATAACAGTAGATCAACAATGTATAGTTAATCGATACATGGAAAATGTTTAGAACAACACTAGTGCCAACTCAAGACTTCCAACGACGCTTTATAGGTATTTCAAACTTATCGAATTTTGTTGCGAAGACGTCTTATCACCAACGTATCTGTATCGTATAGAGTTGGTAAAAGAGACGTGGAACGACAGAAAAAGTCCAGCTTAATGTTTTGCACACTCTCGAACACCAAAGAATTTGCAAACACCAAATTTCTTTCGTCTTCTATTATCAGAAAATTCTTTTACATCTCTCATGTTCGGTAAGTAGGTTCTTATTACCTTCAAATGGGGCTTGTAAGTGACTTATTTAGGGCTCTAGGGTAATAATGTAGCTAAAAAAGCCCTAGGGCGGTAAGTAATTTAAAAAAAAACACTTCTTTCTTACAAAAAGTTCGCGTAATGTACGCGTAACGCGTAACCATCATACTGGCAATAGACATCATGCATTCAGCCCAATGACCAAAGAGGTCGCTTTGCTATTCAGCCTTGTCTTCGTGTGAGTATAATAGTCGTCAACTTTAAATATCTAACGGCGAAGCTCAATTTCGATCTTGAAAAAAAAACTTAAAAAGTTCTTTACTTGATTCTTGATGATCCGCAACCATCAACTTTTGCTAAATAAAGCTTTCATGCTGAAGAAAGCTTCAGTCCATGACCAACAAATATCACAATCTCAAACTATTAACATACCCAAAAATCACCTTGTCCTTAAAATTTGAAAATTGTTCTCATTTCACTATAAATTTCAACAAATAAAATGTTTTATTCTTGTAATGCGGGTTTTTAAGCTTATTATTGCATAGCTTCTATCGCGGGCCTTAAACGCGGGGACCGAATCCAGAAATTCCGTAACGAAAAAAAACCTCACGCTCCCCACTCCGACCGGCACAGCGGTGATACTTTTTAGTTTTGCCATCTATCGATGAATAGCAGAACTTTTTTTTAGGGTGGGGTGTTCCTTTGACATGACAAAGGGGGGAGACCAGTTTATTTTTATTAATGTAATAACATCCACATACAAACCCCCCCCCCCCCCCAAAATTTTATAATTGCATTGAGGTCACTTCAAAATACCTCCCCCTCTCTCCCCTCCACTTTTTTTCATTTATCCCCCCTTTGATTTTCTCGGTACCTGGAGCACTTGGACTCCCATGTTTGGGTTTGTCTGAACCGGGAAAAGGAGACGAACAATCTGGCCCCTACAGATTTTTTTTTCAAAATTATCGTAACATGTAACAACACTTCAGTCTGTTTTTCTTAAGAGGGGCGAGGGGGTATTTTCGAGGGATGACTTATTTTCTTATGATTGCATTGAGGTCCGCACAAAATACCTCCCCCTCACCCTTCAACTTTTTTCATTTATCCCCCCTTTGATTTTCTCGGTTCCTGGAGCACTTGGACACCCCATGTTTGGGTTCGTCTGAACCGGGAAAAGGAGACGAACAATCTGGCCCCTACAGATTTTTTAGCTGAAACCCGCGACTTTGTTCGTGTAGAATTTGAAAACACTGCCTTAGTGGGTTCGATTCCCGGCCGGGCAAATTTCTATAGAGTTTTCCTGAGATAATTATTTAATACTAACTTGATAAAAAATGCTATACAATAGCTTTACCGCGGCAGTCCCCGAGTGCCACACGTCTTTTTTTTCTACTTACCTCACAATCGAGATGTAAAGCAGAATAGTTAGCTCGGGTGTAAGCATCAATTGCACCCTCGAACTATAAAAAATATCTCGGGCTGCAATTGCTGCCTTACAGCCCTTGGCTACTAATCTACTACGAGCCTACTCTCTGTGAGATTTTTTCTAACTTCATTATTTTTGTATATCTACATAAAATGTTCTACTATCATATGTCGCGTTACTTATGCCATTTTTTAATTATGAACCAATTTACTGTTTTAGCTTTTTAAATTTATACATATCCTGTTTTAAATTCGAAGAAGTTATAAGAATATGTATGCGTAAAACTGTACCGTCTAGTTGGAATAGCGGTAATAAAAGTACATAAAAATAAAAGTTGGACTCATGCGAACGCTTGTATGGATGTTATAAAAGTTGGACTCCTGAGAAAGTTGGAATCTTGCGAACAAACCGATCTATCTGATTTTGATAAAATATTTTGACTTTTAAGGTTTTTTCTCAAAAACCTTGCGGCTTTATACACAACTGAGACAATTGGTTTAAAGCTTGTTTTTTACCCTTTCTTTTGATATCAAAATCGTGAAAATTCTCAGAATTGGATTTATCCGAGTTTGAAGTTAAGCGACTCAAATTAAGAATTAATGCTCCTGCCAACTATTCATATAAATATCAAAGTATTAGTTGACTAGTTGATTAAGGGTTTGTTTATCAATCCTCAGTTATACTGTCAGACAACTAACTTGGGAATAAATTTATCTTGCTGTTTATCATTATAAATTTTCTATTTTTCAATCGGGTGTAAATCGACAGATAGTTACTTGATGGTCGTTCATAGCTAACGTCACTGTAAACATGAGCAACCGAGATACAGCTATACAATTAGTAACACGTTAGATAAGGATCACAAGCTATTAGACGACATTTAACTTTGTCATTTGCAAAAAATAAAAAATTTACAAAAAAATATGTAAAATAGTATATATGTATTTCTATTAGTTGTCTAGTAAACATAGTACAAGTTGTGCTTAGTTGGACTAGATGGCGTTGTACGAATATGGTATAAAATATTATCATTATTCGTGTTACTTTCGTTTAAAATGGAATCAATTAAAAAACGAGCATTAAATTTCGAGAAATTCCATTTGCTAATAACTTGTGATGAAATTGTTCATCATCACACAAAGTATTGTCATATCTATCTCTAACAACCTTTTTTTTCTCTCAGGACACAAAAAGTTTAGTATCAGATGGTCTTCTTCTATAGTTAAATGGCCGATCTTTTCGAAAACATACATATCACTTAAACAAAAAAAACTCAATAAGGATAACGTACATAAACTTTACTACAATAAAGATTAGAAATTTGATTAATACACAAAAGTCAAACTGATGTGTAAAACGACAGATTAAAGTTACTCCTCAGATTTAAGCTTTATTCTTCAGATAACAAATATCTGACCATTGAAAAATTCAAAATTACGTTAACTATGGAATAAATGCTATCTAACCGTTTATCTGAGGATTGAAAAACCGGCCCTAAACCTACATATAGTGGTCCTATATTTCACACACATCACATGTCAGACTGTTTTCATTTCACACTGTTTTACAGCCCCAAAAGTAAATCTTACTCTAGGTAGTCGCATTTTCTTTACAAGCATAGTCCCGCCTTCCTTTCCAGAGTTTTTTGACACAACTTCTTTAATTTCCATAGTGTCATCAGCTAAAAAGTAATGGATCTCCAAATTATGCATCGTACCAAATTGTGAATCCCTGTCGTCCCAATAGCCATAAAATCTAAAATTGTTTAACGATATTTATCAATTATTAATTTTCTTTATGAAGTTATAAAAATTGTAATAACATCCTACCTTAACACTTGTCTATCAAAATCTAAAAATTGTCTAAATGGTCGATGCTTCGGTGGTTTTTTAGTATTCACTGCTCTCTAAAAGAAAATATTAATAAAGGTTAAAGCAATCAACCAATATTTTATTATTAAAAAAATTCTGTTATTTACCTCTATAGCATCCGGCCAAGGAATAGGGTCTGGCACATTGATACCGAGTCGATTCATAAAGTTTCTTGTGAAATTGTCACAATTTACTATCTAAAAATATTACAGAAGTACATTAAGGTGGTGAGTGAATTACACGATATCTATTTATTTTTAGTAAGTACTCTAGTAAGCGTACTAGGAGTACCTTACCTTGAATACTTTTCCATAGAAAGTGACTTCCTGTCCAATATTCAAATCGAGTATGTCGTAGTATAAGTCATAACTGTTCGGAAGACGCACTCTTTGGCGACTTATCATTGTTCCTGAATATCATAAAAAATTGAGCTATGTCAGTTTTCAGTAGTCAGTGTCAGTTTTCTTATCAAGAAGCAGAAAAGATGTGCAAAAAAATTACAAATATTGGGAGCCAAAAGTGTCTGTGCATATCTTGTAACATAAAAAATGATAAATATTGTATTTACGGTCTTAAGTAGAGTTGCCGCGAATACTCGCTATTATTCGGTATTCGGCATTACTCGTCATTTTTTTTATATTCGTCGAATACCGAATAATAGCTAGTATTATTCGGCATTCGGCGAATAGTCGTCTAAAATAAACTTTTAATGAACAAAAAAACTAATGAGTTAAAAATAAACATTTTTTTAATTATTTTCCCTATTAAAACAATACAAAATATCAATTATTATCTGTAATATGTGCCTGTGCCTATCATAGTCATGAAATTAAATTAGTTAGGCTTTTTAATTAATATTTAAAATCCAACAGAGGCAGATTGTGGTGCAAAAAAACAATTTTTTCTGCACGTTCGGGAGCAAGTCGGTTTCGTTTTTCCTCGTAAATTAAACCTGCCTCGGAAAATAGTCTTTCTGAATAAACAGAGCTTGCTGGTGTGATTAAGTATCGTTTAGCAAGCTTACTTAAAATAGGAAATCTATTCTTATTGGTACTCAAAGTCCACCATTCATATGGGTTTATTTTTCTGTCAGCCTTTGGTAATGCGATGTAGTTGGCGATTTCTTCAGCAGTGGCATTCTTGAGTTGCTCTTCAGTAGGTTGCTCTATAGATGATTCTTCAAAACATGTCCAAAATAGTTTATGAGTTTCCGAATCGATCTGCTCACTTTCATTGTCTAAACGAGACCTTTTGGATGCTGTTTCTGGATCCGAATCATCATTTTCGTCATCTAAAGAAGCCTAAGACCTTCTCTGAGCGCAGCTCTACGGATCCGTTCAACTTGGGTAGCGTCAAAGTAAAAGTTCTTGTAGCGGGGATCTAAAAATGTCGACAAGTAATATGTCTTCCTAAAGCATAGATCGTCCAAGTTAAAACGGGCTTCCATATTTTCTATCAACGCCTTTTTAAAATCATCAACGTGTGCAGTTTGTTGAATCAGCGCATCTTTCATTAGGTATCTGCTTAATGAAACAGTGCTAGGTATCACATCTGATATAGGTGCATATGTGGAACTCGTGATTTTTGTTATCTCTTCGAAAGGTTTTAAGAGCTTTAACAGATGTTCTATAACCTCCCACTGATCACTGGTCAAATTTTCAAAATTCACGCTCCTTGATTCTGAAATATACACCGAAATTGCTCTTTTTTGTTCAGATAGACGCTCCAGTAAGTAATATGTTGAGTTCCAGCGAGTTTGAATATCTTTAATCATTTTATGATTAGGAAGTCCGAGCTCAGATTGAATACTTTCAAGTTTTGTATATCCTGAATGATTAAAATGTGTCACTATGCGGCGGGCACTAGTAAGAATTTCTTTTATTGGAGAACTGTTATCTAATGCATTATTTATCACCAGCTGAAGAGTATGTATGAAGCAACGCTCTGAAGGAAGAGTTTCCTTAACTCCTTTAACCATATTCGCCCCATTATCGTGAACAATCGCTTGAATTTTAGTGATGGGTATGTCCCATTTCGTTACACACTGTAACAGTTCTCTTTGGATATTTTCTGATGTGTGTGATTCAGGAAAATGTGCCATGTTTAGAACAGCATGATTCAGTTTAAAGTTTTCTGATATCCAGTGTCCTGTGAAACTCAGAAACGCAGCATTATTTACAGAAGAAGTCCAAAGATCGCTAGTGAATGCTATAGCTTCAGCCCTTTCTAACTCGTTTTTTAGTTTGTTAACCACTCTCTCATACATGTCTGGAATTATTTTCTCGGTGATATATGTCCTGCCAGGAATGGTGTATTGCGGCAAAGCATTATTAATAAGACATTTAAAGCCCACATGATGACCGACGATGGAAAGTGGCTCGTTGTCAACAGCAATCATTTCACCAATCAAGTAGTGATATCTTTTTGCTCGGCTATCGTTGATGTCCCAGAGCTTTTTTTTTCAAGTAGTTGTTGCAGTGACTGTTGCACCAAAGGCTGACTGGGCAACTGGGTGGACGAGGAGGTACTTGAAGATGACTCTGCGGGAGCATTATGTTGAGCATGACTACTTGAGCTTCCATAAATTTTACAATACTCATCTGCGAACAAAGAAAAGAACCCTTAATCTTCCGTCCCGTATCCGTTCCGTCCTTTATCGTCCCTTAAGGAACGTAGGTAGCGGCAATTATTTAAATAATGTGTTACAAAACTCACAATAGTACAATATACTTCATAAATGAAAATAACTTTTGAAACAAATATTATATTCTTACTAAATTCTATTATTACTTAGTAACGGTAAAATAAATAAGATAAGAAAAAAAAAACTAACCTGGATGTTTGAATTTCAAATGATTCTGCAAAGCCGTTGTTCCTGCTTTTTTTGCTGCTCTACTTATTTTTACACCACACAAAACACATTTTGCACTGTTCTCTAACTCTTCCTCTTCAAAATGTATCCAAACATGAGATTTTTTTCCTGGGTTAGGCATGATTGTTCTTCTTTTTAAGTAACACTTTAACTAATTAAGTATTCATCAAGTCTTTAATTCAATAGCAATTTTCAAATAAGTATAGAAATAAAAACACGACAACCGATGTCTAAAATCAAATAACAAATGCGTGCCGCCTATCCTAAACACAAGCGTATTGATTGAGCGGGAAATCCCCTTTTTTTTTTTTTTTTTGCGTGCGGAAATCCCCTCGGATACCACCTGTCGGTGGCATGTCGGACTCGAACCGACTAAAACCGCACGCCGTCTCGGGTACTAATAGCCGGGGAACCAGGTATACCCTAGAAAGGAAGTCCCTGGTACAACGGGAAATCCCCTATAATAATAAACGCTGGGTTATACAAAACGGGGTATTCCCCGTAAACTATGAAAAGGCTTGCCAGCATTTAAAAGTGGTAAATTAAATTTACTACATATATGTAAATATGTATAACACGAAACAGATTTCTTTAACTTTATTGTTTTCTTTTCTCACAACCTTAGAAGAAATTAGAAATATTTTTAATGTGTTTTTTATGTCGAATAGTGATGTCGAGTCATTCGACTATTCGCCAAAGTGAATGGCGATTAATCGGTATTCGACTATTCGCTATAACCACTATTCGCGGCAACTCTAGTCTTAAGACATTTCCTTGCAAATTGCATGCATTAATTTACAGACAAAATTTCAGCAAGATCGGTTATGAACTTAAAAAAAGCCTTCGGGAGAATGGCTCTAAAGATTTTTGGGACAACTTGGAATAAATTTTCAAAAAACGCTTTTGTTCGTCGAGACTTTTTCTACAATGTGGCAAAATGTCGTTTTATTCAGATAATTTAAAATACTGAAAAAGTCGATTTACAACAATTGCTAATTTGCCAGCAGTGTGCGAGTGTGCGAAATCGAGCGTATAGCGGCCAACAGAACAGCTGCCCCAATTCAAAACCCAGTAAGTGTATTTCAACAAATTATAAAGGAGAGCGCAGAAACATAAAACGGATTAGCTTTGCAAAAGTATTAGTATTATAGTAAAAAGTGATATTTATTCGATGGAGTACTAACCACTGATTACAAAAGGAGTAAAATATTTGGATCATAATGTATATTGCATGTTTTCTCCCCCTTACTAACTTTGAAAATGAACAAACTCAACTTTTGTCTATGTCCTGACCCGTTTCAAAACCTAGTAATAAACACTTGCTGTGTTTTGAAATGGGGATTTGAATATCGTGTGATGTACTAGAGTACATCACACGATATTCAAATCCCCATCAATCTAATTTCTAATATGTGCTATTATTTCGTAGAGGCGAAATACAAAACATTGATTTCTGTATCACTTTTTGTTAATTTTAATTAAACAGATAAAATTTAATAAAGAAGTAATACCAAAATTAGTGTATAGTCATTTAGTATCATTATAAGTATATAGCTTCTGTTAGCGCTTTTATTCTGTTTATTTGACAATTTCAGATCGGTCATTTTGCGATTTTGATTTTAGCTCGACCGCATATAATCGCCATTAGCTACCTCATGATTCAGAGTCACACTGTTGTCACACAAAACATCATGATAAGCAAGAAAAAGAAAGTATTATTTGTTGCGAAAAAATTTAGCATCTTTCAGTAACAATTAATTGTTTATGTTTTAAATAGCGTTATCGATAAAAGCTGGCTCCTGAAGAATTCCGAATGCTTTTTGTTTCGATACCTACACTGAAGCACTAGCTGATATAAGTATCGTAGAATAAGATGATATACCTTGTGACATTCCACTGTTATCAGTCTTTGGTTCCACGACTTTTAAGGTACCATCTTCAAGGAAGAAGAAGATTTCGACTTTGCGTAAAACAGAAGCCGCCGAACGATTCTCATGCAAAGTTTGTTGGAAGTACGCTTGAAAATGTAGAATCTAAATAAAAAAGGATAAAGCGTGTACATGGACATTAAATTCAAGTAGAAAATTTTCAATAAATATTATATTCTGTATTATTCTAAGATATTAACTACAAACAAATATAACTGATATAATTACGTTCTTATCAAACATAAGCCAAGTTGGTAAATCCGGAGCTTGTTTACGACAGTACAATGAAGGTACTCTATTCACACCTTCAGCTTTATCAACTAACATGTTAACTTTGTCGATACTCGTGAATACAGGGCGTACACCGAAGCTGGTCTTTCCAATCTGAAATATAAATAGTAAAATATAAGTTTCTTTTTAGATGAAAAACTTTAAATGATTGGAGTCCACATATTAATTTATTATTTGTAATATTACTAACAATCCGCACTGGTTTCGCACGGGTGCAAAGTAGATATAAATGTATTTTCAGTGGCGAGTAACTAATTACATTTATATAATTAGACTATACTACAGGATATCTTTATATACGGATTTAAAGACACGCTCCGCGCTTGCCGGCCGCTGTGTATCTCATAAGGTTTGTGCGTGTGCAATGTAAGCACACAAACACATGTTTTTACGACTTTCTCTTTAAAATCCTCGTTTCTATCTACGTTGATATGCATGTATTATACATATAAACCTTATATTAGATCACTCTCCCTATTAGTGAAAACTGCATTAAAATCCGTTGCGTAGTTCGAAAGATTTAAGTGTACAAGAACAAAAAGCGACTTCATTTTATACTGTGTAAAGGTTGTTTTAAAGTAGCTTATTCGGCCGTTTTGAGTTTGCTTAGACTTCTCCTTGTGACATCGTATTGAAATCTTTTCAGTGAGGGATTTAGTCTGCAGTGCGAATACAATTAATTACAACGGTTCTTTTGTAGAGAACAGTACATCATAAAGAAATGACAGAAACATAAATGTAACAGGAGAAGTAAATTTATAGTACATCAAACCTTACTTAGAACGCGAAGTGGCTACCAGGTGTTCCTGCCTCCGGAGTAAAACCTGGTATCCCGCTGGCGGTTTAAGTAACAACCGGTTAAATAAAAAAACAGTAAATTTGACCCTATGTCATTTTAAATGGTTTTTTACATGTGGAAACCTCCTCGAGGATCGAACCGACTAAAACCACATGGAGTGCCACTCTGCGCCTAAACTAGGAGGTATCCGGGAACAGTTTCTTTCCGGGAACGTTCTTTCATCGTTGTAGATGGCAACATTTTCGTCCCCATCACTTAAATAATTGGCACTCTACCACTGTGCGCTCTTCAAGGCACTTTTTGCCTCGCACAACCAATCTATGGAACAAATGATCGTCTGCGGTATTCCCGGCCCAATACGACCTTCAAGAAAAGAGCTTACTCCTTCTTGAAAGGCCGGCAACGTGCTTGTGACTCTTGATTGCAGGCGTTCTAGGGGGTTTTAGTCACTTTGCATCAGGTGACTCGTCTGCTCGTTTACCCCCTGTTCCATTAAAAAAAAATCACCGAATAATTAGTATAAAAGAACTATCAATTAGGCAAATGATCTTGGAACCATTTTTTCGAGCAGGAAATGAGCTTTAAGTACTTGCCAGAGGATTGGTGCCATAACCCGGCAAAAGCGGCAATCTGGGATTCCGTATTGACATTTTTATTGTATAAAAACGCAAATTATAATAAAAAATCAAGTACAAGCACTAATTCAAAAGAAGTAATTATTATTGCTATAGCAACGAAAAACAAAGTTATGATTGTAATTCTGTGATGCTTGACTGGATTGAGATCAGTGAAAACTTTTTTTCTAAATCAATTCGTTAATGCAACTAAGCCAGTAAATATATAAAAAATATATTTTTTGGTTAAAGTAAACTAAGCAAATATTTTGAAAAATATGTGGAGGAAAATTAAAACTGCATAAAAAAAATAAGACTTAATTTTGGTTCAATCATAATATGGTAATCTGTGGACTGTCAAATTTTTGATAACTGAATTACAATAGGATTGTCATTATTGTCACAAAATATTTGTGTTGTTGTTGTTATGTTGTTTTTTTTTGTAAATGCCTATTAGTTATTAAACCATAACAACTATAAAAACTATACCTGACTCCTTTAAAAGTATATTCGCTGTACACTGTGTTTCTATAACAATGATTGACGTTAAGACGAAAATTAATTCTTTTTTTATATTCAACTCTAGTTTTGGGCCTAGAGAAGGCGATGTAAGTATGCAAATATCGGCCATATCTGCTGTATAATTAGTTACTATGATAAAGAAAATGGAAACCAAATTTGCCACCGCCACCGTGTTCTGCTTTTGATTTTATTAAAACTAAAATAATATGGTTTCAGGAACTAAAAAGGATATTATTCTATCATCCAAGTCAAACCAGTCCAGATGCACAGAAAATGCAAGTTGGGTTATGTGAAGCTGTTGTTAAGTTCATGTCGTGAGTATGTTTTCAAGTATTTTTGGGCACATCATCATCAACAGCCTATGATGGTCCACTGCTGCACAGAGGACTTAAAAAGAGGTTGTTGCTTGCTCTATTAGTACATGAACTCAAAAAATGAATTATTTATTTTATACAGATATTGCATATAATAAAAACTGAATAAACATAAAAGACGTATCAATATTGCTCATGACCAGCCCCAACAATATTATTGCCTTATTATCATCAACAGCCTTAGCAATTAGAGGTTTTGGCCAATTATTCTACTCTGGCCAAATGGGTTGGTAGAGTGTTTGATTCAAGCTTTCCTTCTCTTTCTTGGAAAACTTAATAAATAAGTTTATAAAAAAAACCCAGAACTGTGTGCCATAAGCTGATGCCTCCTTTGAACAGAAGTAGATTTCTGGGCTCCTGTACAAAATAAAATTATAAACAGGTAGAGAACTAAACTACTTAAACATTACTATCTTTATATTGTTCTGATGAACTGAATGTGGACTGTGCCTGGATTAAGTCCCTAATTAGTCCCTATCCATCTAGTAACATCACCAGTTATTTTACTTTATTTTTCTTAAATATCCTATGTTACAAAGTGTACGGATCTAATTATTAAAACTACATTAATACCCATATTCATATGTTTTACATTTGCAGTACGTTTTCCTCGGAGCCTTGTGAAGCCTTACAAACACAGACAAAAAGGTATATATTCTATCAACCAGAAAAAGGATACTGGATGGTTCTGGTAAGTGTATAAAAAATTTATGGTTCCTACTTTTAAAACAATTATATTAAGCTTGGTGACAAAAATTAAACATAATTCATTCATAAATGTATAAAATATAATACTAAACAGAATTAAAAAAAAACCTTTTTTAACGCAACTATACAATTCATGGCTATTATTTAATGTATAATTTTTTAGGTTGTCAGGATACCCTACACTACTAAGGCATTGGCAGCTATTGGTGAAACTCAAGGAGATGTAGTAAGTGAATTATATTAATTTTCAATACAAAATAAAATAATGTCAAAGTCAAATAACAAAGAAAAAGAATTATTCAAATCGGTTTATAATTGCCGGAGTAATCGCGTAACAAATATACAAAAAAAAAAAAAAAAAAAAATACAGTCGAATTGAGAACCTCCTCCTTTTTTTGAAGTCGGTTAAAAAAAAACTAGTGTAAGATATCACACAATAGAATATTTGTATATCTGGCTAGATGGATCTTGCACCTTCATAAAAGTATAATTTAAGTCACATCATTAATTTAATTAATACTATTTGTGGTAAGTATACTTTTATGGTTGATCTAATTTTAATAGAGTAATAAATAAAATATTATTTGAAGTATGTAATAATAGTACTTAACCCCCTAATTTTAACCCTTTCATTTAATTCTTTTCTCTGTTTTGATGTACAACATCTCCTCTCGCTTTCCTAAAATTTTACCTAAAATGGGTTGTACGTGTGTAACAGGAAACTGGCGCCCTTAAGTTGAGATGGGAGGAGAGATGAAATGATGTTACACATCAAATGCAACTACCCTTAGCTCAATCTTTTGTTTTCTTAGCACATAATATTTCATAATTTTTATTTGTATATCAAAATACGTACATGATGTATATTAATATTTTACAGATAGATCCATCTATTATGCATGATTTGCTATTATCAGCGTACAAAATGTTTAAGATGTTTAGAGGGCCTTTCAAGAACTTTTCTACAGATGATGTCTATACTGTATGTGAGCACTTTTTCAATCCAGTGAGTATATACTTGTTTTATTTTGAACTGTTTCAAGGTATGAATGGTTTCAAGGTATTCATTAATTAAATTATATAGATACAATCACCCTCTTGATTTTCCTAACTCAAGGAAGACATAGCTACCCTTAGCTATGTCTTCTATGGAGAACATCCTTTTGATTATCTATCAAGACAAGCACTTTATACTTTATTTGAATAGCAGATAGATAATTATTAAATTATAGATAGTTTCGAAACAAATCACTTCTAGATTCAGTTTATTCCCAGTAGTTAAATGAGGCCAGTTCCACATGGTGATGTAACCATAAAAAAAGCGATTTTTTTACCATTAAATTTGTTCCATATAATTTTATACTACTTTTACTGATGTCACCCACCGTAGAGATTGAATCAAATATTCAGTTAAATAGTCTAAGATCCTGCACTATTTTTGCAGCCGGATCTAGTACCTACTATAATATTGATAGATTGCTTGATGCCTGTATGCGATCCTTAAAAACAAACGAAGATCGGAATCACCTTGCGCCTATTTTTATATATTATGTTTTTATATAATATGTTTTTATGTCTCTTTATGTTTTTATGTCTTTAATATGTCTTCAACATATTTTTATATCGTTGCAACCAATTTTCGACCTTATAGACTTCCACAGTATTTAATTTCTTTTTATTTTCAGCGTCATTTATGGACCCCAAAACACGTTTAAAGGGAAATGTCATTAAGGTCGATTATTGCTTGCAACTATTTTTTCTTATCTGTATGCCGTTTTGACCATCATAAAAATAGGCGCAAGGTCAATACTTCGTTTGTTTTTACCGATCTTCATTTAAAAAATAAGTAAAGTTTCATCTCAATGATACAGATGAGACCATACTATCAATGCGATTGGGGTTGGATCGATTTCGGGCTTGTAGATTTTTGCAAAAGGAGAGGCCAATGTCGAGCAGTGGACTGCGACAGACTAATGATGCAGCGTAACTAAGTAGTCTCCTCTGCACCAATGATGGTGCAGGTCAATGGTGCATGCTTTACTAGGGGGATTGTTTTGTAGCTCAAGGAACAAGGAAAAAGGTTTTGTGTCTTAAAATAGAACTACTTGGGTATAATTTTGCGCTTCAAATAGCTATTCAAAAGTTCCATATGGAACTGGCTTCATGGAAGTACTGGGAATAAACCCTAGATTCGATTTCTAAAATGTTTCTTGAGGAAGTACCTGCCTTAATTGTATTCAAGTACAGGGTCAACAGATATATCGGTTTTCTTCATAATAACCGTCAATGGGACCCTAACCCTGGCTACATATAATATGTCGTTTCTGTTAAGTACACATATTGCTGCTAAGAGGTTGTATGTTGGTCTGTGGTTCGAAGCCATATGGCTTACTAAAAGTTACTTTTCTTTCCAGTTTATAGTTTCAAAAAGCCTTACGAACGACATATCAGACGTGATCCAGGGCATTAACTATTTACCGCTAGATAAAAATTCATTTTTCAAAGTACTTTGCTTTATTGACCTGTTAGAAGTCAACTATCCTCACTTCAAATGTATATCTTTTATCTACAATGAACAACTTATTTGGTAAGTTTCTACATTTTAACAAGTTAATTCGAAATAAAAATTTAATAGATTTGATACCTCCTTTCTAGGAAGAAGGCTATGTGCAGAAGCGGACTAGTAAATACCGTTGATGATGATGAAATAGCTTTGTATTTATAAAGAAGGGCCGAGAAATGTTCATCCATTTACGATTTATTTATTTATTTGGGAATAAAACTATATATAATAATAACTATATATGTAACTATTAAACTTTGTTGTAAAAACATCCGGACAAGTGCGAGTCGAACTCGCCCACCGAGAGTTCCGTACAAAGTAAGTAGATATTATAAATAGTTCAGGAATCGAGTCTCGCAGTTTTTTCCAAACTTTCCCCGAATTTCAGTTTCTCAAAGCTATAATTTCTTGTATTATTTTGTTTTATAAGTGAAATTGTACCTCGATGATTGATTACGTACTATAAAGACAATTTTTTTGTTAAATTATAAATGTATAGTTTACAGGTTTTTTCCTGTACGTGTAGAATGAGACGATGTCACTTACCAAATTTCATAATTCTAGGTCAACGGAAAGTACCCTTTTTTATCTGTGCGAAAATCCCCTCGGATACCACCCACTGGTAGGATGGTTATGTCGGACTCGAACCGACCAAAAACCGCACGCCGTCTCGGATACTAGTTGCCGGGGAACCAGGTGTACCCTAAAAAGGAAATCCCTGGTACCCCGAAACGGAAAGTACCCTATAAATTTTGATTCCCTTGAGAGTGTCTAAATATGCGTTTTTTGCTGCATAAACGGCTGTACCTATCTTTTTTCACGTTACCTAACTTAGGAATTTGATTTTTTCACAGCTTTAAGGGGCTACAGACCTGAGTTTAAGGTTTTAATTTCAACTCGATGCCTCCACGCGTTCCCAAGACAAAGGGTCTTGAATGACAGACGGACACCAAAGAGATCCAATAAGGGTTCCGTTTTTCCTTTTGAGGTACGAAACCCTAAAAACATTAAAAAACTTTGTTAATACTTGCATACGAACTGAAGTCGCTAGAAAAATATATTAACGCTAAAATCGATCTCTGACCAGAAGATTTCATTTTTCCAAAATGTATTTAAAAAACCAATATAAAAAAAAAGATACCACTACTCGTTTCTGGTGATGAATAAGTTTGAAATAATATGGAATCCAGATCCACATCCAGAAATTAGTACAGTTTGCAGTGGCTATGATAACAGTTATGATGACGAATACTACTGTTAAACACGGCGGTGAGCATGTGATAATTTGGGGGCGTTTTTAGAGCGTTGTGTAAACCGATTGCAAACAATCATAATTGAAGACAGAATGACCCACAGGTCTATTATAATATTCTCCTTTCTATTTCAAAACTATCTTGACATGACAGGGTTAGATCGGACTTGTCATGATAATTAAGGCGTACTTATATTGAAAATCATAAAGTACACAGACTTATTGAAATGCCCCTGATATTACCCGATCTTAACAGAATAACATATTTGTAAGGTGTCCAATACTGCAGGAGCCATATTCCCATGAAGAGCAATTGCACTTAATTTTAATATTTCATCTTTAAAACGTTGTTAAGTATACCGATTATGTTACATGTAGAATATTGACGCATTGGTGTAGATAACTTAAAAAACAGTTCTGCAGAACATATAAAATAGACAAAAAATCAAGTGAAGTTAAGATATTTCGTCTATTGTATGTAAAAATTACAACATAAAATTATTTTTCAGTTTTTTCAGAAACTTTATATTGTGTTATTTTGAAATGGGTACTTTATTAATAGAAGTATGCTTAACTCAGACATTTTACATATATACTTATTGAATTACGTTTCATTGTAATTGCCTTATATTTTTAAAGTTCCGTACCTGAAAAGGAAAAACTGAACCCTTATAGGATCACTTTGTTATGATATGAGATATGGCCGTTTATGCTCCATCAACGCATATTTGGACACTCAAGGAAATCAAAATTTATAGAGTACTTCCCGTTGAGCTATAACTCTGATATTTGGCAAGTAACATCGTCTCATACTACAAGTACAGGAAAAAATCTGAAAACCATAAGTTTATAAATAAACAAAAAAAAAAGTCTTTCTAGTCTATTTAAAGTACGTAAACAATAATTGATGTACAATTTATCTTATAAAACTCAAAAATATAAGCAATTATAGGTTTTGGAAAATGAATTTCTGGCAAGGCTCGGAAAAAACTGCGAGATTTGATTTCTGAACTATTTGTAATACAAATGTGTACGGAATCCTTGGTGAGTGAATACGGATTTTTAAATAATTTCAACTAACTCGGAGATCACTAAATTATTTAGTGTTGATAAGCAACCCACTACCTATATATCCACATTATATTAAAACTCATTTTTTTTCTCATTTTATTATTAAAAACTCATATTAAACCTGCTTTCTGGGAGCTTTCAGAAAGCAGGTTTAATATGAGTTTTTAATAGAGCCTTGAATAGTGAATAGTTTTTAATGAGTATAGTTTTTAATGAGTAATAGTTTTTAATAGTGAATAGTTTTAATTGAATAGTTTTTAATGAGCCTTTAATAGTCCACTGCTGGACTATGTCCAGCAGTGGACTATTAAAGGCTGTTGATGTGATGATGATATTAAAACTATACCAGTTGGTTCAGGTCACATTGGCCTGAGCCAATTTGCCTAGCATCAGTATGTATTTAGAACGAATATACTTTTTACATTGCATGTTTAATTCACTATTCACGAAATTGTCTTTCACCCAGGAATGGTTTGAGCACGAATGACATGTTAACATTATACCAATATTTGGTCCAAACATTGCTACCAAAGCAAGTGGAGAAAGAAATCCAAGGCGGTGCCGTGACTGCAGCACAAAGACATGGACGATTTATACAACCAGCGGAGGGTATAAAGAGTAGTGAAGACTTGCAAAAACTAGTCAAAGTGCACCTCATGCGTGAAGATGACACAGAAATAAAGCAGTATTATTTAATTATCTACAGAACGATGAGTGCTACTGTTAGCTTTACTGTTGATGGTAGGTAAAACATACAAATAAATTCTACGGTCTGAAATTCATGGACGAACTAAATAACAATACTGTTAATTATCGTCTCGAATGCGAAATGTATCTAATTAGTGTCCGTCCTTTTGCTCATGTTCCATTAGCTTTTTATCGAAAAACGTAATTGAGAATAGATGCTCAGTATATAAGCATCTATTCTCATATTTTGCTTCACGCTTAGGCTCCGTCTAGATGTATGACAACTAGTAGAACTGGCGACCGATTTTGAATAGAAATAATTATAGTCTTTATCTGTAGTATTAATATGTTTTTATGTCCAAGGTATATATACCTTGGTATATTGGGATTAAAACATATTAATATAGTTAAATATATTTAGTGATTACGCTATATACATTTAGAAGGTAATTAATCAAACTCTTGTTATATACAGAAACATACATTGACCCGCAATTTGCCCATTATAACTTAAGTGTCTCTTAAGTAGTAGCAGGCGAGCCTATTGCCACCTGCCGGGCCCTCTAGGAATCAGGTCACGGTGACCGCGTTCGGCGTTACGATTGCTGAAGAGTACAGTGCGGGCCAATCGCTACACTAAACGCGGTCACCATTACGATCGAGTCGATGTGAAATAAACTCTCACTATGCCCTCAGATAAGAAAATTATAAGAGTAAGGTAAGGTAATGATAGGAAAGGGATATTGCTCATAAGGACGTATTATATAGTCCACTGCTAGACATAGGGCTCTCCTTAGAAAGGAGGTTTTGGTCTACTATACCACGCTGGGCCAGACGGGTTGATATAGGGTTTGTTTCAAGTTTTCCTTCTTTTTGCAGTGCTGTTGTCCTGCATAGTCGGCTCTTACGACACCCACGGGATGAATAGGGGTGGTGACATTCCGTATTCTTAATCCGTCACCACACGGACTTGTAAGCAATAATACTGTGTAAGCTATGTAAGAATAATAATAAGAATCTTTATTTACTTCAATTTTTCAAACATCTACACTTAGCTTAAGCATAGCACATAATATGCAAAGGTATAACAGAGCTAAAGTAGTAATATGATCACAAATAGCGGTCAGTTACAACAGACTCCTACACTAGGTAAGCAACCTGTATCTTAGGAGCCGTGTAATTTGAGTAATTTCTAGATAGCAATTTATACAACGTTATAGATCTACTCAATAAGATACGCACAGTCATTTATGGTTCTCCATAACTGTGACTGTGCAACTGTGTGTGTGGCCAACATCATGTGTTGTGCATGTAGACAGTTATGAATATACAACGATAAGGTTTTCTGTTACCAAATGACAATTTCTGCAAATATCTCGCAAGTAGGTAGGTATATACTTCAGGTTGTATTGCGTCAAGGAGTAAATTTTAAGGACACGATAATAAGTAGCTCGAACAGCTTTGATTAGAATGTTTTTATTGACTGTGTTGGTGACGTATTCATTCATTTATAATACTCAGTATTACTTTTCAGTGGATGTAGAACTTGAATTTGAAATGTTCAGATCATTAGACGCATTTATTGGGCCTCAGTTATCAGCTATCGCGTCTACCATCAGTGAGCAATGCACATTACATGCATTACAAACAGCCCAACTGGCAGTCTCGGAGCATAAGTTCGTTTATTTCAATAGATTGAACTTAGCATTTAAAACATCTGTAAGTATTTTTGTTTTAATATATTACTTTTCTGACACTGATATTTTGAAATGTACATAAGTAGGTATATTGCTTAAGAAAAACTACTTAAGCGCTATAAGAGGCAACTTCTCAGAATTAGTGTAAAAGGTCCATTTCTCATGTACATTTTTCATGTCGTGTGCGATAGAATTAACGATCAGAACACGAAATTCTTGCGTGTAAAGCTTATACAGCTTTATGGTACATAATTTTTAATTGACTTATTCAGTGTGTATGGTAAATTATGATTTTCTTTACTATCAAATCTCAGTATGTCATGAACACAGTTGTATTTGTAAAGTACCGCAAGACTTCTGTCATGTACTTCTTTGGATTATAATAACATATTTTTTGTTTAAAACTATATGTCATAAATTAACATCTAAAGAGGTTTTACATTTTATTTATAAATTTTCACAAATGTTACGTGAAATTACCATACTTTAGCTCATTCTTTTTCAAAAATTACAAAAAAAATGTAATAATATAATATTTTTCAGCCACCGATTAACAAATTGCACCCTTCTACTTCTATAACACCTGAGGTTTTAACTATTATATCTGGTATACATTCAGATACGAAGAGGTAAGATATAGGTACATATTAACATTTTTACTAAAATTGGCGATGGAAAATAGTTCAAAAATGTCTTACCACCATACCAGTACCATATTGGGGGAGCCCTATAAATCAGTAGAATTAATCAGTTCAGTCATACCGTTGGAATAAAATTAACTTGGTACAGTGCAATCAGTTGGCAATTGTTATAAACAATGAATTTCTTTTTGACAGCCTCGGAAATTATGGGGAGATTATAATCAAAACACCAGACGAATACTGGATTACAGGGAAGTCTTCCAACGAAAGAGAGTTTTATGTTATAATACAAGAAAAAAATGCCAATTTGAAAGAAATAGCAGGTACGTTTGGATGAGCATATGCAGTAGAATTTTATTGGACTAGCTCCTCAATTTAACTTTCTTTTTTTGCAGATGAAGTACGGCGGATATGTGAAGCCCAAATGAAAGGCATTTTTTTCTATCCAATGTAAATATTGTTAATTGTTGCTAATATTTTATTATTCATATACAAATAAGCTTGTCTCAGTGATATTTAATCATTGTGTGCATTGCAGCAGCAAAATGTCAAAAAAACGTTTGTTAATAGATACCTCGCGCACTAGACGGCAACTACCACGACCAGTCGTGGCCGACCCAGTTTGCCTGCCACGACTGGTAAAAAAAGCATTATCGAGCTGCTGCAGTTGTTTTTCTGAGCTCCAACAGTATGGACATAGAAATACGACGACGCCTTTTCCACATCAAGTACTGGCTGTGGAAAAGGCGTCGTCGTATTCAGTTGCAGAACGATGCGAAGCGTATTCACTCATGAACTGTCCTCACGATACTAGAACAGAATGGCTGGCTGGAATTAAACAACGTTCGTCGCAAAGACCAGTCGTACCGGCTCGTATAGTTTCCTTAGTTAATCTGACCGTTGCGGCGACTGATCGTGGTCGTCGTGGCCGTCTAGTACGCGAGGTCCCATAAAGTGACCTGGTTAAGTCTAGAGAATTTGTCACTACCTACTCTAAATTTATTAATAACCTATGAAAAAAATTAGGCAAAGTTCTATGTCTATAAAAACTATATTCCCAAAATTACTTTATGCAAAAAGACAAAATAAATCTAGAAATAAAAATTCGGTCAAAATTCAGTTCCGTTCAAGTCGCGGTCTCGTAACTGTCATCAAAGGTTATTTGATTATATATTGTAACGCGAAAAATAGAATCGCTAATCTGCTAGAAAAGTATTTTATTAGTAAAATAGTTAAATATTACTAAAATACTTGGTTGTAAAAATAAATTCGACATAATTAGACTAAATAAAACATCACTGTGTTACTGCATATACTGAAAATGGATTGTGTTGACAAAAATGAGTACATATTATAATATTTCTACATTTATTTTACAGAAATAAAAATTATCATGTCATACATACATTTACCTTTATTTGGATACCTACTTATAAGAGCTTAATGCATGTGTTAATCAAGAGAGACTTTCTCTTCCTTCTTCCTTATTTTTCTGTACATTTCAATTACAAGTTCTAGATGCTCATATCCCCATGAAAGTAGAACACAAATTAACAATAAAGCCCCAACAGTTATATGAAGAAGTACTGAGTCTTGAGATAATTTATTTTCAGAAAGTTTACAAAGGCAGCCAGCAATAAATAATATCATCAAAAATATTTTACCAACATATAACCCCTCTAAAGGCTTATAATCAGTCCCTTTATATTTGCTATTTATAAAATGCATGCTGTGCAAAATTCTAACAAACATATTAATACAGTTAGATATAATAAAACCTACTGGTCCAAATATGTATGTTAGAACATATGATAGCATAATAAAACTTATTGAAAATAGAACCATTAAATAATTGTAACTGTTCAGCTGAGCACTGGTCATTGTTGCAAATGCATAACATTCAGTGACACCATTGATAGCCAACAAAACTATAGCAAGACAATGACTTCTCAATAATTGAACTGGTAACCCACTTGCAACAAATGACTCGCCTCCATACAGCATGAGTAATGTTCTTGCATAACTTTGCCCAAACACTAAAACTATCAATCCTATAGAGCAGACTATTTTGCAAACTCGTGACAATACTATACATGATTCCTGAATTTTAGTTTGATCTTGTTTACTAAGAGGTAAGTCTCTATTTACCGTTTGGGTGAAGTAGAAATAGCTGCTGTCTTCAATAGGCCTGAAAATGAACCTAGCTGCTAAACTACCAAGATTATTAACCACATCATATGTAGCCTGTTCTGTGAACGTCATAACTGGACTAACAGACATCACATATTTTTCGCCTTCTGTTAAAATCTGTTTGACCACCCCCTGCTTAGCAAAACTATAAGTTAGGGTACTTAATCTCTTATTAAACATAGTACTTACTGAACCTGAATATTTTGGCAAAAAATCCTTAAGTGATGTAAATTGAAAGTCTTCCATATCATCATACAATTTGGTTAAAACAATTTCAGGAATTAGTTTATTTTTGACTGGTCCTTTAGTGTAAAGAGATTTATTTTTAATATACCAGTAGAAAAATATATAATAACTGAGTACAATAGACCCTATACTACCAACTTGTGCCACAGAAAATGCAATAAGTGCAAGAGACCTGTCATAGATAACAATGGACAGGAATAAGACTGTTCGTATAAAGATGTGCAAGGTATCTAGTGCCACCTTTAGTTTCGTGAAACAAAAGAGCTGTGCCACTAGGGACAAGTTGGCACAACATAATTCTAATACACATGAAAAGGCTACACTCCAACAGGCAAACTCATACTGAGCAGCATGCTCAGGATGGTTTAGTGGTAACAAGTTTAACCAGATATAAACAAAAACAAGAGACAAAACACAGCTAACAGGTACTGAAAGCCAGATCTGATTAAACAAATCTCTCCACAAAGTTTTATCTTTCTGGCCTAAACAAGCTCTATTAAATGGTTCACGGCTCAGGAATAGAATTGTACTTTCTAACAGTAATAATCTTACATTCATAATACCTAGAACTTCATGTCCAACATTTCTTATGACCCATGCATTAATAACAAAGGTAATACATCTAAATAAAATCTGAAATATAATGTTAAATGACGCATTTTCCACACTACTCATTAACAAGTTGCGTGCCATGGTGGTCTATTAAACAATAACATTATTTCCTTCATAGACATGTGTCGGTAAACTACGTTTTACAATGTATATCTTCTTATTTGAAAGGCAAATAACAAACCAGTGATCGTCGTATGTTATAGATATTTTCTTAAATTGTTCATTAGGGCCAAAAGCTAAAGGATCAACCCTGAAAGGAATAAAGAATAATTTAAAAATAAGTACTTGATTCATAAAATTCCAAATTATCTACGCCTAATTGGCTGTTCAGTTAGCGCTTGATTAAAGCATTGATAAATATCACCAATTAAAAATGTTCTTACTTGTTCGATAAAGTGATGAGATCAGTTATGATTGTTGCAACACGTTCGTCGTTTTCCAAATCCCCACCAGATTCAAGGACGGCTCCGTCCTCTGTTAAAACCAAGTAACCAATTTGATCAGGAATTTTTTCCATTATGACTGTAATTTTAAAAACAATTTGATAACACAAAGAAATACAGGAATGAAACTTCGAATAAATTCAATTTACCTTAAACCTCACGTACGAATGACACAAATTGTCAAATTTGACACATCCATTCCCATTGTGTCAAATTTGACAATTTGTGTCATTAGTTGCCGACTATGTAGTAGTGTAGACTATGTAGTATTCACTTACCCAATCATTATAATTTAGGCAATCGTTGTTCATTGAGGGAAAATTTAAAGAAATAAACAATGATAGTGTCAAGTCAATATATATATGAAAATGTAATATATGTTCATAAAAACAAAGATAGCTTCTTGAAAAGAAGTGAAGTACATGATTTTAATACCAGAAATAGAAATAAACTTGTTGTACCTGCCTCTAGGCTCCAAAAGATAAGAAGTGGTCAATGTGTCCGATTCTATAATAAAATTCCAAATAAACCAATTCCAATATAACTAAAATCTTGTATCCGCTTGTATGCCCATGTAGACTAGTGGTCTACAAAAACGAAATCCTAAAGTGCCCGTGTAGACTAGCAGTCTACAAAAATAAAAACGGAAAGTGCCCGTGTAGACTAGTAGTCTACAAAAATAAAACCGTAAAGTGCCCGTGTAGACCGGTAGTCTACATGGCTCCTGCCACAGATTAATTAGTATTTGACAGTAATTGTATTGACATAATGCTCTTTAGTAATATTTTTTCTATAGTCTGATATATTATCTATGGTATTAATCTCAGTCGAGCATGCAAACACTAGTAAAAAAAAGAATTATACGTCATAAAACTTCTGTCATTTCATCAGTCTTCGAATCGTTCCGTGCAGTGACTGTGTTGGAATTTCTTTGTGATATTATTTTGTGTGTTGGTGAAATTTAAAGTTTTAAATGTATTATAAGGCAATGTTAATGTTATTTTTGTTTTGTTTAGTATGTAGAACAAAAAACATCTGGAAAACTAAGTTATGTTACTGAGAGCATGGGAACTGTTTCAGAAATGTTCATATTATTCAAAAGTGGTGTATGTTATCCCTATTGTTTTTGATTGTAATAAAAGAATATAAGACTACTTATATAGTTATACCCTATTTATATTCCTAACAATGATATTTGTGTACGATATGCCTTGTTAAGTCTTACATAAATTATGCCGCGTGGCGGCCGATAATGGTAAGGATTTAGAGGCCTGTAAATAAATAAATATGTATGGGAGAGTATATGGTTTTATTTCATAACATATTAACTACTATCTAAACAACATAATTAAACATTAAAAACCATAGGTCATCGCTTTCATTTTTGAACTATGGGCTTCGAAGTGCAACACGAGCTTAAAAAGACGTTATCTCAATTTCAACACAGTGTAACTCAACACCAGAGCCGTAATCTGTAAATAGAAAGATAACATTGTTTAGCTAATTTCATAGGCAACTAAATAAATATAACACTTGACACCCTTTCAATACAAACTTTAGTCACAAGAACCGATTAAGTGGAGCACGGCGCGCGCGTCGATAACGCAAAAAACAGTGGGGCACTTTACGGGTGGTCGGTATTTGTGCCGGGGCAATCTAGACGGTCTCGCTCGCGAGTCGCGGGCACTCTGGACGCCGCGGGCGCCATGACAGGGGCATACGAGCGGGTATACTATATACAAGATTTCAGTGTATACAAATTTAATTCCACATTAAAACGTAGACTATGTCAGAAAGCCTATTACTCAATTGTGGATTACATAGAAGACAAGAATGCTTGGGATTAACTTAGCACAGGCTATTTCGTAGTGGAAATATGATGTGGGCTAGTGTCTTTTATTTAATGTTCCATTTTTTTATGTTTTACTTCACTTCCTTTTTATTCCATCTTTTTTATCTATCTCTTTTTCGTTATATATCTTTCTTTTCTTTATCTTTTGTGTACCTTTTTTTTCTTTTTATTTTGGCTACAGACAATTATATACAGTTATAATAGTTATAAATATTTGGCTCTTTACAATAAAGCTCTATTTTATTGTTACTAAAATATGGTGCCGAACAGATGATTTTAGTAACAACAAAATTTTAACTCTTAGTTTGAAAGGACACGTATAACAAGATTTACTATGTTTAAATATTAATCCTATGTCTTTTATATAAAGATTAAACAGCAACGGTCCCAGGTGGGATCCCTGGGGAACACCAAAAGGGACAGGGAGGAATCGGGATGAGTAACCTTTAATGCAGACCGCCTGGCTTCGGTTGTTTTACATAAGATTGTACCCATCTCAGGAGGTTGCAATGCATACCGGCCTTTGTAAGCTTTATAATCAGGATGTCATGATTTGATTTATTTTATCGAAAGTTTTAGAGAAGTCGATGTACATGACATCCACCTAAAGATTTTTATTCATTGCTTGCACTAAAAAGTCAGAAAAATTTCAATGTTACTGTCAGCGCTATGGTGTTTAAAGAATCCATGTTGATGTTGAGATATACGATTACAAAAAACAGCAGAGATTTGCGTAGTCACTATTTTTTCAAGTATCTCACCCAAAACGCATAATTTAGAGATTCTTGGGAATAGGAGTTATAATGGATTTTTCCCACATTCCGGGAAATACTCCAATGGAGGTGCGAAAAATTATAGATGCTGGTCTAGCAAGAACCTCAGCACATCTAGATATGAAAATTGGGTGAAGGTCATCCGATCCATCACCCTTATTAGTGTTAACTTGTTTTAATTCCTTTAACACAAGGTCTAAATTAATTTCCACTGAACTTATATCTACGCTTGATCTTCTTCGCTTGATCTAACTTCTCTTATATCTTGTTTTCTGTTCATTGCCTTTTTACCTTTTAGTCCTTAAAACTTTTATACTGGAGCACATCAAAACAATGTTGTGTATATTATTATTGACGTGACAACGTCTTATAATTCGATGGAGCCGGCTGCACGCACGAGAAAACATGACTCATGCGGCGTTACCTCGCTCTGAGGCGTTCCATTTAAGGCGTGAAGTGCAAGCGAGAGCGCGGAACGAGTGACAAAGAGGCACAACCGGCCTCCGCGTTCGGCAGCGTTCGACATCTGTCTCTCTCCTACTTGAGTGAGCGATGCGTCCGCGTGGACAGCTGCTACTCGTATACAATAATACATTTTTGAAAAATGCTACCATTCCATCAGTATTTTCTTATGACGTTGTCACGTTCAACTATCGTCAGTAAACCGACTTTACAGACAAACGATTTTTTTTATTTTTATTTAACACTTCCTGCATTACAACTACCACGAGGCGGACTTAATGCCATGTGGCACTGAACTTATATCTACGCTTGATCTTCTTCGCTTGATCTAACTTCTCTTATATCTTGTTTTCTGGTTATTGCCTTTTTACCTTTTAGTCCTTAAAACTTTCATACTGGAGCACATCAAAACAATGTTGTGTATATATTTTTTTTTTTATTTAACACTTCCTGCATTACAACTACCACGAGGCGGACTTAATGCCACATGGCATTATCTACCAGTCAACCTTAAAATGGTTCGGTAAGAGGCATGGCAGGTGCACATGTATCATATAAAAAGAAGAAACTATGAAAATATAACATTAATTTGAAAATACTATTTAAAATACATAGACGAATACATAAATAACTATTAATATATATTATACATACAGAATGAAATAAATACAATAATGTCTGAGGGGACGAAATCATGAGGATATTTCGGCTAGCTATTTCCTGTAGAATTCTCGGACTTTAGTTTTGAACGCGTCGCGACTTCCTGACATCCTGATCTCAAGTGGGAGCGCATTCCATAGTAAGATACATTGGACAGCAAATGAAGAATGAACAAGAGAAGAAGTGTGTATTGGACACAAGAGTAAAAGATTATTAGTCGACCGAAGATCTCTGTCATGGTTGGAGCATAGTGGTTTAAGCTGTGCAGTAAGATAAGTAGGAGCTGTAGGATTATTAAGAAGAGAATAAAGAGTAGTCAATGCCCGCAAGCTACGGTGCTGACGTATAGGTAACCATGACAGCTGGGATCGATAGGCAGACACATGGTCATACTTGCGGAGGTTGAAGATGAATCGAATGCAATTTTTGAGAAGACGATCAAGTTTATTGAGTAGATCTGCATTCAGGTCGAGGTGGCCATCACCATAATCGATGATTGGAAAGATCAAAGCCTGTACAAGCATTAATTTGGTAGTATGTGGAAGGAAGTTCTTTAGCCGATACAGTGATCGCAAGGTTCCAGTAACTTTTTTACTTACGTTCGCAACCTGTGGTTGCCAGGTGAGGCTGGAGTCAATCCATGAGCCAAATGAACTGATCGGTATATCGGATCCGTTGTAAACGATCGCCGGTAGTTTTGATGTGTCTAATCTGCTCATCATTCTGGGGCTACCTATGATTATGGACTGACACTTGGAGGGATTCACACTTACACCGAACCGCTCATACCAGTTTTTGATTGCCTCTAAATCACGGTTGATGTTATCGACTGCTTCTGCATAATTATCAAGGCTGGTCTGTGAATAAATTTGAAGGTCATCCGCATACAAATGATACGCACACTGAAGATGAAGAGTAATGAGATTGATAAACATCGAAAATAAGAGAGGTGATAAAATACCACCCTGTGGAACGCCAGCACCAAGATCACACCAACTTGATGATGCTTCATCAATGCGGACCAACTGCCGACGTCCACGAAGGTAAGATGAAAACTATTCCAGTGCTTCGGTGGAGACATTATAGTGAGTGAGGACAGATAAAAGGATATCGTGGTTGACCGTGTTAAAGGCGTTGGAGAAGTCAATCAGGACCAGGACAGTCACTTTTGCGTCTTACACCCCATTCCTAATATCGCTGGTCATTTTAAGCATTGCTGTAACTGTGCTATGACCAGGTCTGAATCCTGATTGAAATGGGCAGAGGATATTGTTTTGATGGATAAACTTTGAGAGTTGTTTATGAACACACGATAGGAAAGGGAGAA